AAACGTCATGCCATCTGGCTATGGGTCAAAACATGTCAAAACCAATCCTCAGTAAACATCAAAAATAGCAGGTATAGCCAGCATAGCTGCATGTTCATCCCCTCAGTCGTATATGTATAATAATATGCATATATATATATATATATGTATATATATATATATGTGTGTGTGTGTGGTATTATATAGGTCTCGACCCACTGTCCCCATCTGCACAAACTACTCTCATTCCCCAACCTTTCCAAATAAGCACCAATAAGTCAATAAGCACTTGTTATCCATGTTCACCAATTTTCTTCCGGTCGAATCTCCCAATTTTTTCTCTCAGAACATTCTTAAAAATTCCAGCCAAAATCCATCCGGAGCGTTTTTTCCTTCAAAAAAACATCTCAGTTTCCATGGTTTCTCCATGGTTTCCCATGGTTTCCCATGGTTTTCCCATGGTTTTCCCATGGTTTTCCCAACCGCAGATGTCCTGGAACTACGCTAAGATCAACTGAACGAAGCTCCGCTGTGAATGGAAGCAGATTGGAAACGCCTAACTAATGGAATTAATTACTAATTATATATATATATTCATATATTAGTATATATATATATGTATATATATATAATTATATATATATATATGTGCGTGTGCGTGCCATTTTCCTCAAGCTTGTCAAGAGGGTGTTTGAATTAGCCTGACCCATTTCACTAGGCATTTCAAGTGCAACTAGCCAAAGGCTCTTGAAGGGCTTGTGTCGCTTTCGGTCATTTCATGTTTTTTCGGTTTGGTTTCTTCTCTTCTCTTTTTGCCCGATATAATTTTTATAGTTATGCCATGTTATGCCATAGAACAGCGCTTGTCTTGTCGAGTAAGATGGCATCCTCGGCCAACATCGGCCCTTGATATGAGCCAGCAAGGCAACGGGGATATGTTAACTTTGGGGTCTGCTTCGGTTTTCCCATTGGCTTTCCCTTGGTTTTCCCCGGGTTTTCCCCTGGTTTCCGCAGCGCCTCAGCCGTTGCTCGCCCGGGGAGGCGCCCGCGCCAGAGCTGGCCAGCACCGCGCCGCTACTCTCGGCGTGGCTCGGGGAAATGTTGAGGTCCTGGGAGTTTGGGGGAGTTGGAGGTCCAAAAATGGTGGCTTTCACCAACAAAACATGAAAAATCCTGGGTTTCACCAAGGAAAATGGTGGTTTAACGGTTTAACCAACAGAAAATAGGGATTGAACCACCAAAAATGATCAAACATGGTGATTTCACCGACAAGAATGTCGGTTTTACGGGGCTTTCCCAATCAAAACGGTGATTTAAATGGGTCTAACCAACATAAATATTGACGTAAGCCAGAGAAAATGGGGAAGTAAGCATTTGACCAACAAAAATGGGCAGATTTAAGCAATCAACGTAGGGAATATGATTACCCGGTGGTGATTAACCTATAGCTCATCGGGTGATCTCTCCCCATCTTTTGAGGCGTCACCGATTTCGCCCATGGGTGGCTGGAAGTTCAGATTGCTATGCCCCATTTCTGTTGATGAAATCCATTTAAAACCACATGTTGGAAACCATTTGAACACCTATATCTATGACAACACCATTCTTAACCACCACTGAAAAATGCCAACCACCATTTTGTATGGTTTTTATCCCATATGTGGGTTTCCTAAAATAGGGCTACCCCGAAAAATCATCCATTTTTTCATAGGGTTTTCCATTACAGATCAACCAGCTATTGGGGTACCCCCATGGAAACCTCCATATCTTCCAGTTGGCCAACCATTTCTGCATCGCCATCGGCCAGCCACGAAAGGGTCGGCCAGTGCATCGGTGGAGAGTTGGACGATGTGCAGGGTCTCCTGCGCCTCGTCCTGAGGCAAGACCCTCGCAATGTGAATGGGAAATGATGGGTAAATATATGGGCAATGTGGTTAAAACATGTTAAAACAATATCAAAAACCATCCCCCAGTCATCACCATTTTTATAGGTGGTATACACCATTCCCAAAATGAACGGTTTATGACATTGGTATTATTTCTTGGAACCTGAAACCAACCAGTTTGTAATGGAAACGAATCTTCCAACCCTCAACTTATGGCAGGGTCTATTTCAACCTGAAGCGAGTTATGATGAAAGGATGAAAGGATATGAATGGTTATGGGTCAAGACCCTAGTACCGGCTGGTACCCTAAGTCATGGCTGGGATTTATAATTAGATTGTTATTCTATGTTATTCTGTTATTCCCCCTTAAATATGGTAGTTTCATAGGTTTGGACCCATGCCCAAAATCACCTTTTTGAACAGATCTTTTGAAAAAATATGGTTCTGATGAGAGGCCTAACAGACAGAGCTTCAGAACCATGGTCAGCTCAAAGGATTGCGAATTTTAGCGAATGGAACGACAAAATACCCGTTTTTTTGAAACCGTGCAGGAAATGCAGGCAAATGCAAGCAGCCAAACAAAATGAATTGTAACCAACAAAAAAAGTGATATTATCAGAAACCTCAGATGGATGTTTTATGATGGTTTATGATGGTTTATGGATGTTTGCCTACTGCAAGATCCATGACCAAGCCTGGTCAGAACCCCAGCTGAAATCCTTAAAAACTTCATCTGGAGCTTCTCCAAAAACATGTTGGCTCGAAATGCTATGGGTCAAAACATGTCAAACTGTCAAACCCCTAAAAAATCCCCTTCTATTCACCCCAAAAAAATGCTCGGATTGATGTTCATCCCCCAGAAATGTCATAGGTAACTTGATCCACTCTGCCATCCTTTTGGAAACCTCCAACCAGTCAAGCCAAGGGTCCCAGCAGCAACAGGGCGTGAAGCCTAGGGCATGGCCTATGTCTCGCAACCAGGAGTTCCGCGGCACCGGCATGGCGATCGCCGCCACAGGAGGGGTTGGGGGTGAACTGTTTGGATAAGTGGATAAGATATGATAAGATCAAATTGAGGCAGGGCAACCTGAAAAACTGTTTGAATCGGACAGCGATTTTCGGATCAAACCATGGGAAGTCCTTCTGAACAGTTTACCATGTTTTGCCATGTTTTGCCATGTTTTGCCATGTTTTGCCATAAGCCAAGTCTGGAAGGGATTTAGTATATGTTAGTATCCCAGTCTTGGGATGGTGTTTTCGGTAAAAGCTGGCCAAATAAATCCCAGCTTCATTGTTAAAGAGATGTCGTTTAGGCACGACGCATAATTGGCCAACCACATCATGGCAAAAAGATATTTCGCAAACTATGGCAAATCTAAACATGAACTCATGAACCAATTGTTTGACATATGTTCAAGGCCTATAGAAAACCACAAAAAAAAACATGTAAAATATGGTGAATTTAGGTATGGCCTACCATTGGGTAAACAACAGATTAGACTAGACTATTAGATTCCGACCTCGAGAATCACCGCCTGGGAAAGCAAGGGATTTTCAGCTTTTTTGCGGACATTGTCACGACAATGACTGCGGCACTGCACAACTTTCTATACATTTCTGTTGGGGGTACGTTGCCAACTTCGAGGTTCAGTCATTGAGGATCACCTTCCCAAACATGGATCCCGCTGTGGGCTGACCACAAAATCTTGAAAATCCATCAGCTGGGAATGCCTGTTCAAGTTTAAGAAACATTTAAAAATGCACAATAGATCCACAGAACTCAAACCTGCAACACCCTTGGCGGAATGCATTGGATCCAATTTTCACTTTGGGGCTGCCACAAGGGACTTTAGTAGTAAGGGCGTGGTGGGAACAACAACTGCATTTATGAACATCAGGACTCATCCCCCACATTATACGACCGTAAACCTCCCCGAAGGGAGTAATATCTTGCAGTTTCATCCTCTAAACCGGATACTGTACAAATTGAGATGCCAGAAAAGGAAGCAGGAAAAAAACATACAGTACAGTGAGTACAGTACCCTTGCGACCAAACTGCCAGGCTGCCATGCAACCCCCACCGTTCGATTCCATGCCATCCGTGCCATTTTCAATCCTAAGATCCATACACTGCCGGTCAGCGCATGCACCGCGCTCTGATCCACGTCCTCGTGGGGCTCATTGCATTATTAGCAGAGCCCGGCTATTTTTTTTTCGTGGCGCGAGGCCGGTCCGTTGGCCACAAAACACTCCGGCAACCGAAGCAAATGGCCTTATTCTTTGGCAGAATCAACTTGCAAAGCTCTCGATTCGAATCAAAAACAATGCTCCTCAATGTAAAGAAGTGCTATCCAATTCCTTCAAGTTCCGCCAAATCATTGGGGGCCTCAGTTTTTTTCTGTTTTTTTCTTTTTTTTGTTCTGTTAGTTAAGCACATTTCATGATCTATTTTTATTCAACTGGATCCAGTGGGAGTTTCACAATCGACTGAAGGCAGCCAGTTTCGCAAATGGGTGAGTGATACGTCGGCGCCGGCGCGCTCACAAGCGTTCGCAAGCGTTCGCGCTCCTGGCGGGTGTTGATGCTGATGCCAAGGCCAGAAGATGCCAGGCGCATCTGCGAATCATCTGGGATTGGATCAAAATGATCAAACTTTCAGGGCCCTGGGAGGAAAAAAAAACTTCCACCCACTTAGCTGGGCTTCATGTTGGAGACCGGAGGATCAAAATGAAACCCGCAACAACCAGGAGCCGGCAAAAAGAAATCATCCACAAGTCATGTGTATATTGCATTTTGGTCACCCTTTTGGTTTGCATATATGTACCATGTATACATATACAGCATATACATCTATATAATAGCAAGTGCATGCAAGTCCGAAAAAGGTGAAACAGTGATTAGTCACTAAGATTGTAGGATTCTACTTGTCCTATTGAATTGGGGGATTACTATAAATCAATATACCGTTATACATATGGGGGTTTCTGGAAATGGGGGAATCCCCATAGCATCCCCAAGGCGTTCAATCGTAAAATGGTCCAATGACTTGAATGATGGGGTACCCTGATGTTAGGAAACCTCCACATATCCCCAAGTCACCGAAGCAGAAAAACACACAATGTCCTGCACGGATCGTCACACCACCTTCGATTCCGGGAATCAACAAATGGACGAATCTCCGGAAAAATCGTGCAGATTCAATGGGAATACACATATGACATATGGGGGTATAGAATTGTATAGAGAAGTAGAATGCTACTTAAATATCTAGAATAGTGGTGATTCACTTTTCCATGATTTTGGGATATTTTGGGGATCACTGAACACACGTACTGAGATTTAATTGACAAATCATATGTAAATGGATTAAGATTTCAATGGGAAAACACATCTGCGATTAAACGTGGATTGTTCCTTTGCCCCGATTATATGGATGACCAAAGGGCAAAGCAGCCATTTTGGTGTTCTGGCCTTTGTGACGAAAGTGACCATTTTGGTGGATGAAATCAGGCTAATCACCAAATGTCGTTGCCTGATGAAACAAGCAATTAATATACGATGAAATCAGTTGTGTGCACCACAAGTTTCTTGTTGAAATCGCTTCAATCCCGATATTTCTGCGAAACCAGTTCTATTTCTATGATGTCATGTCGATTTTCCACAGGGACAGCCCATTGATCTCAAGAGCGTCAATATTAAAAAAACGCCGATCCTATAGCATCTCCGCCATATATCTCCAGCTCCCCACATCCCCAGCTCCCCACATCCCTAAACCCACGGTTTTCATCAGTTTTCCACCTCCAGGAAGACAGTCCCCGCATTGCCAATCTGCGTCACCCAACCGATGGCTCCGTCCAAACGGGACTTGCACTTCAGTCGTACGAGTCCGGACCTGGAGAAAACCCCCTGGGGGGGCCATGGCGAAAAGCCATGGGGACCTAAGGTCGACCTCAATGGGTGGAAAAAATGGAAAAAATGATTTAATGGTGATTTAATGGTGAGATGGTGATTTAATGGTGAGAAATCATGGTGAAATGTTGGCGAATATATAATATCTCTATGTATGACATTGGTAAATCGATGTATATATCATATTTCACCCATCTGAAATGTAAAGGGCCAGCTATGGGGATGATTCCCCTTAATCTAACCATGATTCCAGTGAGGGAGAACAGTGAGGTCGTCATAATTTGGCCAAATATAATCAGATATATTGGTAATCCACAACTGACTCCGATTCTTGTTGCTCACATCCACATTCTTGTTGGTCAACTCATCAGTATTCTTGCTTGAATCCGCATTGCCGTTGGTTCCATTGACAAATGGATCTGTGGTGTTTTTTTTGGGGGGGTAAGTGGTAAGTATGGGTATCTACAGCTGGATGACTATCTCGGACTATCTCGGACTTCATCCATCTTACCCTCTGGTAAACATACAAAAAACTATGGAAAATCACCATTTTTCATGGGAAAATCCACTATAAATGGCCATTTTCAATAGCTATGTCAGTCATTACCAGAGGGTAATCCATCTTAATCCATCTTGGTCCGTGATTTGCTGAGCTTCCCGACGACTCCTTCTTGGGCCACACCCAAACATCGACCAGCTCGCCGACTCGGAGCTTCCGTGGTTCCCGGTCCTTCCTTTTTGCCCGGAAAGGGGGAGATCTGAGGAGATGGAAAACCACGTTGCCAATGGGACACTGGGACACTTGAAATGATCTACCCTCTGGTAAACGTTAACAAAAAACTATGGAAAATCACCATTTTTAATGGGTAAATCCATTATTTCTATGGCAATTTTCAATAGCTTTTTGTATGTTTACCAGAGGGTAACGTCTAATCCGCTTTAAAGTTCTTTGATTTAATTTGGGGGTTATGTTTCATCTCAGCATATCTCAGCAAAACTGCTGATAAAGGCCATGGCATGTTCCCTTGACAAATGGACTACCACCTGGCAATCAAACATGGCTGGCCGGAGAACCGCCAGCTAATCGTCCAGGGATTTCCCAGCCATGTTTGATTACCAGAGGGTATATTACCATCATCCCTCAAACAAGGGTACCCTCTGGTAATTTAACATAGCTATTGAAAATGGCCAGTTATAGTAGATTTTCCCATGAAAAATGGTGATTTTCCATAGTTATGTTAGTTTACCAGAGGGTAACAAGGGAGAATTCAAAACCCATGGTTGACACATCACCCAGCCAAAATCAAGTTCCAATCCAATCATCAATGAGCAAAAATCATCAACCATGGCTTGTCCCGTGCAGCTGAGGTCGAAAAGACTTCGCAAACCTGAAAGTGACACATTTTCGGGGTTGTCCCCCAAGCCACGAAATAAGCTTATCATTTTGGTTGGTTCACCTCCCCATTTTCGGGACCAAAAATCCACAATTTGGGATTGTAGCATCACCATGTTCGATGGTTCAGCCCTGATTCTTTGATGGTCCAGTCACTACTGTTGCCGGTCAAGTCCCCCCTTTGATGTATTAGGTCAGGAAAATTGCCATGTTTGATCGTGAAATCATGTCAAACTCACATGTTGGTCTGGTTCAATCGCAATTTCCGATGGTTAAACCCAAGTTTTGCTAGTTCAGTTCCTCATTTTCATGGTCAAACTCGGCCAAACTCACGCTTTTTGCTGGTTCTTTCCCTACTTTTGATCATGTTTCATGTCTACAATTCAGAGGTCTGAAGATGTCCCCATTGAAACCTCCATTTCTAGAGGATTGTCCCATTCAAACCTCCGTTTTTCCCACGATTTTCTGCTTTTGGTTCAAGGCTCAGCTGCTTTGCAGCCTCCTTGGCTTCTGCCGAGTCAATCTCAAAGGTTTCGGTCATGATGGTCTCCTGCAATCATCAGGGCATAGAAGTATTGTTCTCTTGCTCCTATTAATGGAATATAATGGTAATGAAGTATAATACTATTAGTAATGATTATCAGCCATAAAATCCTATTGACATAGCTATTATCTAATTAATACACCTGGAAATAATAGTTCATCATTACCAGGTACAGGAAATCACGAATGGTTAGGATATGATTCTTAAGCGATTGCTAATGGTTATTGTCATCAGTTCTATCTGGTATATAAGGTTATCATCATTATGAACAATCGCCAGATTAGTACAATTATGTTAACATTAATGTTACCCAGTATATACTATGACTTTTTTCTATGGTGAAATATGATAAATAATGGGTTGCAATTAAATTTTGTTAACCATTACATGATCATCATCATTGTGAGTTAGTAATGGATTCACCAGTGTGATTTTGATACATAGCCCTGGTGCCCTCTGATGACTAACAGTTCGCCATGGGAAAATAGATGGCCCATAGAAATAGATGGTTTACCGAACTTAAAAATGGGTGGATTTTCCATGGCTATGTTAAATAAGCAGAGGGTATTTATTATGGCATTACAATGGGTTTGACAATGCACATATCATGGGGATTTCCAGCGATGTCTCAGTGAGGGGGGAATTGAGGCAGCCATGCGGTTTCTATCATCAAATAGTATCAAATATACCAACCCTAAGTGGGGGATACAATGGGATGTGTACCTAGCAACTATAATTCTGGAACTAGAATGTCTTGGCTTTGCTTGGAAAATGATGTCAATCAATTTAATCAATGGATGGATCTATGATCTATGGAACATGTTGTGGGAAACCGTGGTTTGTACCCCCAATTCTACCGGTTTCCTGCGGGTTTTCCACATTGTGCGGGATGGCTCTTAAAAACCCATCTCAAAAACATGCTCGTCATGGGGGATCATCATCCAAGTCCAAATATTGTTTCTTTTTAATCACCAACCAGAGAATGTGCATCTATCTGGGTTATCTAGCTACGTATCTATGAATCTATGAATCTCTCTGTATCTATTTCCATCGGCCTCCCGGAGGATCCCGGAGGTTCTCAGGCTGAGGGCGAGCGACCCGATATCTTTCTATCTCTATATGTATAGCTGGCCACTCAACTGAATATCTGAATGGTGTATATACTAGTACATACTAGTTAGCTACATATGTTTCTGTTTATTAAATTTTATAAAGATCGCCACTACCTCTTTCGACCAGGGTCTTCATCTTCAGGTGGAGATGCTGGTCGAACATGGCAACGCCATTGAAAATCCCCCCAAAAAATGGTGGTTTTTCATGGGAAAGTCGATCTGCAAATGGGCAAATCTCTGCAAATCATGGGGAAAATCATCGGGATCACAGGATCGGCTGATGTTTTATCGAGACCCAAATCGCCTGAAATTTGAACTCCGTCATGTTTTGGATCCCCCTATACCCTCTGGTTATGTCAAAATAACGAACTGGAAAGATCCACCCATTTTCTAGCTGGGAAAATCCGCTATTTCTATATTTTTAATGGGAAAATCCACTATTTCTATGGTCATTTTCAATAGCTTTTTGTATGTTTACCAGGCCGGGTAATTGAAACAACATGGCCCTGTCTGACAATAGGCTACCCACAGATACAGTACCCACAGGTACCCCCATTCCATCCATCGCTGGTGCATCTGGCACCTTGACCACCTTGTAGACACCGGCATAGTCCACCAAGAATTTGCTTCCACCATCCCCTGCCAGGAATTACCGCAGCCCAGCAGCCCAATATCACAGGTCTCCCACCCGAAAATGACATGTCATTTGGTGTGTGATAACTTTTGGATCCCCCCACCATTTAAGGGCATCTAACTTGGCGACCCGATTCTGAGAAGACTCTGGCTCAAATGGCTCAAATGGCTCAAGTTGACTTGTTTTCGAGGGAGATCACGCTTCCAAGAATTTCAGGATCGCAAGAAAGATCAACTTGGAACTGGATCAACTTTTTGGGTGCCAAATATATCGTCTTAAAGAAAGTCATAGCGCAAAGACATCTCAAAAAATTGAGAAGCTGTCTGCTGTTACCATGCTGTATCCATGCTGTACCATGCTGTATCCAGTATCAAACCTCCAATTTACCCTCTGGTAAACTAACATAGCTATTGAAAATGACCATTTATAGTGGATTTTCCCATTAAACATGGTGGATCTTTCCATAGCTATGTTAAATTACCAGGCCGGGTATGTGCCATTCATGGGGAATTTTTGTTGTCCGTGCCTGAGACGGTGGCCCAGCCCTCAACATCATCTTTGATGGCGCGGCACTGGACTCGCATCACCTCTACCTGCCGGGATTATTGGGAAGGGCACAATGGGCGGGGAACAAAAAACCATGGTTTTAATGTATGGTCTTAAAGATTCTTGAATATCTCTAAATCCAGGTTGGTTGAAGGTTGGTTGATATTTTCTGATATGTTCAGTCAACTTCGTCCGAAATGATTGGTTAGGGGATGATGTGGCCACTCTTGACCCACTGAAAATGGCAAGGCGTGTGAAGTCATCCTGTGTATTTTCTACCCAGGATCATCTGAACCAAGTTGAAGACACAAAAACATTGGGATTGACTCGAGCAAAAATGGATTGAATCTTATGAAACAGATTTAAAAACATGTTTCGCTTGGGAATCATCTTCCAAACTGGGTGTGGAACCGGTAAGAAAAGTTTTACCATCCAATCTTTTCGAAGTTTGGTTCAACATTATACCTGCAACATCCTTCCTTAACCTAAAACATTGGAATTCTGATCTGGGCCTACGAAATGGCCAGAAAATATGTGAGGCAAAGAACATCGCCGAAAACAAACAATGTCAAAGATCAAGGATCAATTCTCGGATGTCTATGTGCATCATTTAAAAAATCATCAAATCATTCATCTACCATTCATTATCACATCTGTCTTAAAAATGGTGACCCCTGCAGCTTCAAAAACAGCACCTCCTCGTCCACCTGGCTTTCTTGACTCAAGACCTCAATGATCTCAGCCACCTGGGCACCAACGATGTCCATGTCATTCCCACGAGCGCGCTAGCGCGCTTTGCGGGGCAAAGCCAAAGCCACGAAACCATGCCCCATCTAGAGATTTACACCCATCTTTACCAGAAGTGCTGGGTTTTGAAGACCATAAAGCTTTAAAAATATGAGTATGAGTATACAAAATACGATGATATCGCCGGGAAACTACTGTTATGGGGTTGTTGGTGCATGAGATATTACCATGTAATCCCTTCCCCCTAGTATTGGACAGACTCCGATCTCTTCATACACAACATCATGTGCATATAATAATATATATGTGTGTGTGTGCGTGTGTGTGCATCAGAAAAATCGAACACAAACTCAACACATCAGATAAACATCTATTTGATCACTTCCTCAACAAGATCGGAAAAGATGTGTATATCATATCTACAAATAAGAATCGAACGGGGAAAAAAAACGATGATAGCCACCGCGGGGCTTCCAGTCGCCGCTTGGTGCTGCTCTTGATCCCTTTTTCCTCCGTCAAGACGGTCTCCTGCAGCGATGATGGGATGACGATGTGGAAAAAAACAGTCAATGGATTGGTTAAAGTGAAAATCTACGGAGGAAACCATGGGTCTAAGTTTTCACGCCAGAATCCAAAATGTTGAGGTGGTCGGTCAATGTTCCCATCAGCCAATTCAGTGACTTGTTCCCCTCCAGGAGTGGCAACCCCATGGAAGATCCAGGGATCATTCTTGAGGCGCTCTGCACCCCACGAAACGATGAGTTTTTGGTTTTTGATGTTTAGCCCCGGATCTAACATAGCTGACATAGCTATGGACAACGGCCCATTTTGTGTATGATAATCTGCACATTCAAAATTGTGACTTTCCATAGCTATGTTAAATTCCCAAAGGGCATCTACCCGGGTATAGTAGATGCACTATATATATATAAAGTAATGAGAAGACCGGGCTGTCTGCAAGCAGCTGGTAAGCCCAATGCCCAAACCTACCATTTGGGGATCATTCTTACCGCTAAAATCGTAATTTTGGGGATTGTTTATGGTTCGGCTTACCAGATTGCACGCTCTGCCATGGCAATGAACACGTCTCCATCTTTAAAACGGAAATCATCTATATACAAATGGCTCTTGTTCCATTTCTAGTCCCAAAACCTACTAGGACCTACTAGAATCACCATGCGTCACGCGGCGTCCTTGATGACCTTCTTGAACACTCGGATCAAGCCCATCATGCGCTCCTGGTGGCTGTATTCATTGGGGGATCATCATGCAGGTTCAGCGCTGGTCTTAGCTTCCCTGCTTAAAAGCGTTGCAAAAGTGGAAGAACAATTGTTTATCCCATTTAAGATGCAAAGAAAGAAGTCATGAATGTACCAAACCTAGCTTTATCCAGGATAGATGGGAAACTTCAAGAAACCCTGCTTAACCAACCAACCAGTCACAATTTACGATTAGAGTTGCTAAAATGGTCATGTATCCCTCAAGCTTCTGTGAACTGGACAGAGCTTGCTTCAGCTTCCTCTTTCGGCCAAGACTTGCCCTCCAACCTATCTCCCAGCTCTTGAACCCCCATGGCTTCTTTAGCAAACACACACGTTCCAATGTTTAAAAAAATAGGGATCCCATCCCCCCACTTAACATAGACATCATCTTAGACATCTACAAATCTATAAACATCAGGTATTCTCAGGGCCTATGTTTTTTCCGGGGATGGGAGAACCACCCGTGGCGTTTCCTTGGAGATGCCAGCGCTGGAGCACGCCAAGTGTTCGAACAGTCTGGTCAAGTCCTGGCCGAACGACAGGACAGTCCGACAGTGGTCGGACTGTCGCAATGGAGATATCGATCGGTAAATCACACATATATACATATATATATAGTATATTATATACCATATATATTTATTTTCATAATATATATAATAGTATATAGATATATATTTAGAAATCATGTATAGTACATGACCATGATTTATACGTATCCATATTATATATATATATACAAGACAGTTCGTCAAAATGTCTTCTTCTGGTTTGGTTGATAAATCCGTGCGTGCCCCTTCTTGTTTGATCTTTAAAACTATGATATCTAAAAAGTCTGAAGCCCTGCATTTTTTCCTTCTTGTTAGAAAACCAAAGCTAAAACATGCTAAAACCTGCAGGAAATGCTAAAGCACGTCTATATGGAGTGGGTGCCGCTGCCAGTTATTACTCGTGGAACTGGATGATTTTTTCAGCTGCTGCTGGGCTTGTCGTTGCCTTTGCTGTCACTGTTGCTGGCGTCAAACAAAAAGGATAAACTACAAGTTCTCTCGCGGCGCAAAATCCTTCGGGCGACCCGCCTCTGCAGAAGGCGCTTTCACCTCCTCGTCCTCCTTCTTCTCCTTTTCACCTTTGCCACTGAAAGGTTCTGAGCAAGGCAAGGGATGGCAAGGACCTGAGGGTTTTGAGGCAACAAGGTTCGAAAGCAACAGTGGCAGCATGAAGATTCAATGTGGAAAAATCTGTGGGAACATGTCTATGACTCCCATTGGACTTGCCATTGTTGACCCATACCAGGATGTGATTGATTCTCTTGCAGACTTTAGGGGAACATGCTAGGCTATGCCTTCCAGACTTGATGCGATACATGTAGAACTGTCCTGGAACAAATGGGAGCAAAGTTGACTGAGCCCAGTCATTCAACAAAGATCTGATATGGGTGTGGCTCCCAAACAATGCACTATGGCACTATTGACAAAATCACCTGAGCCATCCTCCATCGCCACACTGATAATAATTGGTTCGTTTTCTCTTGCCCTCCTGCCCTGTGATAAGCAGCAACAACACAAACCTGCCCCCTGAGAAATCCCAAAAAAGGACAGGCATTACTGGGGTTATAGCTTGCTTGTTGCCCATTAGCTATAGATGCCATAGGCCCATACATTGGCGCTGTCAAGCAACACTTCTTGAAGAAGTTCAGGAAAGCTTTCCTCAGTTCCGCGGTGCAACCTACCAAAATCATCCAACATCCTGAACAAATCATCCCCAAACCGAGAACAAAATAAATAGTAACAAGAATCCTCATCAACCACAATAATAGCAAGTAATCACAATAATCATAATTCATAATGATCATCAATAATAACACTAATTACTAATAAGAAATATCAATAACCCTTAACAACATTAATAACAATTCTCATTATTATTAGTCACTTAGTCACATTTAATTAATAACCATAGATATTTCAATGACAATTCTTATTATATCATTGATATTAACAGCTCCTTTTTCCGAGCGTCTTTTCCACCACGTCCTTCTTGCCAGCCACCGCGGAGTACAAGTCCTCCGCCGACCTGGGCCAAATGTCATGAAAAAGCAATGGATTTTTTCATGACAAAGAATGGAACATGCTGGGAATATCATGTTCAAAATCATAGAAAAAGAATGAAAAAATCATCCAAGGTCCATAGAAATAATCATCAACGAATACTGAGCTATTGGATAATGAATGGAAACTAGTGGAAAACAATGGGAAATCATTGATGATCATAGGGAAAATCACGGGGAAAAACATGGGATATCCATGGAACACGCCTGCTGGGACGTTTTGGAAATTTTCCAGCTCTAGGCGCCCCCGCAGCTCCTTGGCTTTCTGATGATACCTGAGCATGGCCTCAGTGATGTGATCTTTTTGAGTCTTTTTTGGGTCAGGATGTGCCTGCAGGGGAGCTAGAAATCACTTCCGGTTGCACAAAAATGGGACAAGATCGCGTTGGACGATCATTCCGATGTTTCCGCGCAAACGGAGTTGAGTTGAGGCTCTGGAATTCCAACTCGATCAACATTTTATGAAGAGAAAAAGTACAGGCGCTTCTGCTATGCTCCAGAATCCCGCAGTTTCTCCCATGGAAGCTCTGGCGTTCAGAAGCTGCATCATCCACATAAGATACGTAAGTGATAGCTGTGAACAACTCCAAGATTGGCCGTCAAATCTCATGATTTTTAGGGTGGCCCAACTTCTGGATCAGCAACAAACATGTCTCCCGACTTCTCCGTAGGGATCCCGCGCAACTTCCCAGGCATCCGCACCAGCATCTGCTTCTCTAAGGACTGCAGTTCGATGCTGATCTTCATCTTCAGTTCCCCTTTACTCCGTGTAACCCTCAGGCCGCCAGGCGCTGGGTTGAATGGATGACCCCAATGTGCCGGCTGGCACTGGGCAGTTTGGAGACCTCTGAACAACTAGTAGTAACTAGGGTATCTCATGGGACACACACCAGTTTCTGCCCATTCGGTGGGAAGGTCGGGGGCACGAATCTGGGATGATCATTTTGCCTGGTCCCCATTCTAATTGCTGGTTCAAGAAGCCCTGCCGGCTGGCTAGTCTCCCATACTCTCCCCATACCTGTTGATAAATAGCTTCAATAATACAAGTCAACAAGTTGAAGTACTGTGGAGATGCTGTCGTTTCCTTGTGTTGGTTGTTAACCCATGTTTGATTCTTTGCGCGGGTGCGCTATACCACTCAATGTTTCCCTTGAGAACAATTCATCATGCATGTAGAAACTGGCCAGTTGCTCATAATCACGTCCATCTGTATTTGTTGAGACACTTTAAAATGCCACTGCTGATAGATGTGTTCCTTTTTCTTGGCTATAAACCCCATGTTCATTCAGGGTTTCTATACTTTGAAGGGAAATTCGGCCAACACATTTCAGACAAACCACATTTTTGTTCAAAGTATCCAAGTCATGGATTCTTCCACTCTAGGAATTAAGGCCATATCAGGCCATATCAGGCCCATCGCTACCAGTGCTGGTTCAGTTCCATGGATCCAGTGACGGGGAGCCCCGGGGAGCCAGAAGGAAGGCCCCGGGGAGCCCGGCTGCGCTGTCACTCGTGTGAGCCTGGGATCCAACATCAAAGTCTTTCCGTCCTCCGAGGCGGCGGTTAACGGTTTCGGTGAGAAAAAAATAGATTTAACCTAGTGACCGGACTTAACATCGTAACTTAACTTGGTAATTCATAGACTTAACATTCTGTAACATAGCAACTTTAAAAATTAATGTGACTAATTCATAGACTTAACATAGCAACACTTTCATAGACTTTTTAGATGAACATAAAAATACTGTGCCACTTAGACATGCAACTTCTAAACTTGGCTTTGCTGCTCTGCATTTTGTTTCGGGCGATTGATGATGATTCAACATCATGATCGTTAGTAGGTGATGGTCAATGGGATGTCAATGGGTGATCGTTTACCGGAAAATTCTCTGGGAATGTCTGGGGATCATGTTTTCTCCAAATCTCATGATCATAATGTGAACAAAGGGCCATGGCCCTGGCTCCAAAATGGGGAGTTCTTCGACACACAAATGGTTGGTCTTTAGCGTCCGACCATCCGTTTTTTTTGGGGCATACATTCTGGAGCCACTGCCGTCAGACATAGTAATCAGATATACAGTATACAGTAATAAGTGGGTGATGGGAATGGAATAAATGACTTGACTTATCCAGGGGGTGGGCATTCCTCTTGTGGATACTTTAACCATTTAATGTCTATCTCTCTGTCTGTCTGTCCGTCCGTCCATCTGTCTGTCTATCTAATTATCTATATCTATATCTAAATCTACTTAATTAATCTTAATTAATCATTTGTTTTAACCTGTCAATCCTCAAAAATAATCCAAAATGACACAGGTTTGGCTTCCAAGTATCTCTACAAACCGCCTTGTTCCCCATCAGATCCAGCTACTCATTGCCAACAAGAACGCTGACGGGAGTTGATTGGGTTTTAACATGGTTTGCTCACGATCCCAAAAATTTGCTCGTCATCTTCACTAACCATCCCATGTCTACGGTTGAACAACAAAATATTGTATATATATATGTGTGTGTGTTTGTTAGGTGTGTATATATATATATATATTTATTTATTTATTTATATTTATTTATTTATATTTATATATATGTGTGTGTGTGTCTATGTATATGTGTGTAAACATCTGAAACCCCCAAACAATCCAAAAAAAAAATGCCCATGGCCCACCTGCCGCCCATCCCCCAAACTGTCCGTAGGTCGGCACTGCTGCGTGAACCAAGGAGCCACCTCGCTGTCAACACCTGGGCGCGATGGGTCTGGGAGCCCAATTTATCGCCTATTGAATCACTGTAAGATGGGGGGATTAATGGAACATAACTTACAAACATAACAAAAAAAAAACATCCAAAAACCAAAGAGTACCAAGAAATTGAATATGGAGCCTGAATGAACCATGTCCAAACACACATCACTGTTCTCCGATCTAAGTGTGTTTACATGCAATTTCTTGGAGTCTTGGAGGGAGAACTCTTTGCAGTAAGATTAAAGTGAGAAACCCATGAAAATCCTAGAATTTCTAGCCGCTGCTCAGCATGAAAATGGCAATCTATATTCAGCTGCCCAAAAGGTTCGGTTTCTTTAATAGGGATTGGTGACACGTCTTGCGTTTTGAGGAGGTTCCATGGTGCCATCTACTGTTGCAATTGAATCGTCAGTTCCTCTACGGCGTGCCCCAATCGAAGCTGTTGAATTGCGGTGCATGTCACATGATATCCCAGCTGTGGGGACCCATTGATCAAGTTCCAAACCATCAATCCGAAGTGCAATGGCATCATCCCAAACAATCGTCACAGAGTTCATGATACTTCCCCCAAAGATATCACTTGTGTGGCGGGGTTAGCACTACTGTATCCAGGAATCTCCAATTTAAATCTTGGCAAAATCTTTGGTGCATTGGGCCTTGACTTCTTGACGTCTTGACCGAAAAAAAAACACATCACGGGGCATAGGAGTCCCAAAACGACATATCATATGAACCAATATATATATATGATTATATATCTATGTATGTTATTTCATGAGAAACTGATAATCACCCATCAAATTTGGGTGGTCTCCTAGCTGCCAGACCCAGAAAAAGAGATCCGATTTCGTCCGGCGCCTTCTTTCATCTCGGCGATCTCGCTCTTAAAGCTGCTGATCTCCTCCTTCAAAGTTGTCGCCTGCGGCTCGGGCGTCACTGACCGCTTCCACAAAATTAGGTCATGTTTCAAACTCCTCGATAAGGTGTCAAAATTCTCTCCAAAAAATCATCATTTGTGAGTTTGCCCGAGTTTGCCCAGTGGCCTTTCCTGCACCCCACATATCCCCACATGTTCAAATCGTTCAATTTTTAACCATGATCCAGCCACCATCAGCCATCATCAATCCATAATTCTTCCTTTTGCCCTGGAAGATGATGATCTCAATGGCCATTTCAGGATCCTAAATTGGAGGTACCTACCATATATAAGGCCTATTTTTCAGGCCTAAATTTCAGGGAATATCCCAGCAAAATATGGCCAGAAATATGGTACTAACGTACCTCCATTTTAGGATCCTGGAGATCTCCCATTGATGATCCAGCCATCATCCAGCCATCATCAGCTACCCTCTGGTAAACTAACATAGCTATGGAAAATCACCATTTTTAATGGGTAAATCCACTATTTCCACTGGGCCATTTCCAATAGCTATTTTGACATAACCAGAGGGTATCTTTCAGGGCGACTCCGCCTGTTCCTCCAACTTCTCCAACAGCGGCTGCATTTCAGTGGAGCTCATGGTCCTCGGCACGACCGGAAGACCGGGATGGGAAGAGCCAATGGGGGGTCAACTGGGGTCAATGAGAAGATACCTGAAAATATCTGAACATATTTGGCAGTGTGTCAAAACCTTGTACCCCTGGTGAACATCAAAATAGCTGGTAAATGGATGTTCATCCCACTAAAAATGGTACTAATAGGTATTGATCCATACCCATTTATGAACATATGGGATATCACTGATATCACCCATAGATGATTTAGAATATGTTTGCCATTCAAATATGTTTTATACCCATAGAATCCCATAGATATCTGGATTCACATATGTGCCGTTTTGTTTTTTTTTTCAGATTTTGAAGGGGTGCCCTAGATTAAACATTGCCAACTTCTGACTCTAAAATAATTCGGGCTTCACGATACTCCATGGAAAAATTAGGAGGGCGTAAGTCCCAAATGATCAGACCGTACATTTAAATCGTCCAAATACGCCAAAATGACTCGTCCTCTAAATTATCATTGTTATCTTCCGGTAATTTGACATAGCTACAGCTACGGAAAATTGATGAAAATTGCCCATTTATAGTTGATTTACCGGATAAAAACCGGTGGTTTTCCACTATTATGTTAGTTTACAAATGGGTATCGCCCTAATTAATTTATGGGGTGTGAATCAGTGCAAATCCCAAAATAGTTCAGATGTATTTATATAACTTGACCCCAATTGCTGAATACTCGGATTACTCCTAACCTAGCCTATCCTTGTTATCTTCCTGCGGTCATCGTCTCAAGATGTCTCAAGATGTCTCAAGACCTCCCAACTTCAGCAAAGCCGCTTGGAGTTCAATAGAGGCTTGGCATCATCCTCTAGCGCTTTCACCTGCTGGTTCTGACCCTGCCCTGAGGGGTGGGGAAAATCCCAGGATGTCCCCGGATGTCGTTCTGGGAGATTTTGTTGTTGTCATTATAATTAGTAGCCCCGAAAAAAAGGAACAAAAGTAAAATCCTACAAAACAACGTGGTAAATTAATGTATGATCTTTTTGGGGCTTGCTATATTGATTTATTGATATTTATTGGTTGGTTAATAGGATGATGATGAGAATCCCCAATCTATTGATGAATAGGATGATGGTAATTGATTTATTGGAAATCCTAAAGCGGGGATAGCCCCAAATCACCCAAGTTCTCAGAGCAGTTTAGTATTGAAACCTGTATGGTGACTTGGGACTTGGGAACCCCCGATTTTAAGACCCCCCATCTATTGAATGATTATATAATAGGATGATGATAAACCCCCCAGACTGTGGGACACTATAACTTCCGAAAACCATCGACCAACAAGTTCTGAACGCTGCTCAAGTATAGTTATAAGAACAAAAACAGTTATCAGCAACAAGAATTACCTCCAGAATCATCATTGCTATTGCTGTTCACTATTATCGTTGTATCGTTATATGTTATGATTGTTACTACCTGGCTGCTGTTACTATAACATGATCGTAGGGAAATCCCGGAATCATCACCACACCAGATCTAGTGATGTTGACAAAATGGGTGACGTGGGTGACCTGGGTGACTTAATTCACAGGCGGACCGCTCTAAAAACACCCAAGGAAGAAATCCTGAAAAGGATGAGAGGTGAAATGACCCATTTCTTTCATTTCAACGTGATTCGCCGCGGGAGCAAACGCCGAAAAACCTCAACTCCCAGAGGTGACAGCCGCTACCCAGCCGCTACCCAGTCTATGTGGTGCTGTGAGTCCGATGGTCCGATGACAGCAGCACCTTCTCCTCTACCGCGATGTACTTGCCATCAGCTTCTTTGACCTCAACCCGCTCTGGGATGGTGCAAATTGGAGCAGATCGAAACTAATATGGGCTAGTAAACCACCAAAAAGAAAGAAAAAGATAGTGGGACACCTGGAAATATGAAGTAAATATGTGTAAATATCATATTATATCAGATTCATCTATTAACATTCTGGAAACACTGTTCTATCTGTTTTGGGTGTTGCTATAATTTATAGACTAGAGTGCCATCCGCTTTTTCAGATCAGGTATTGGGACTGATGTGCAGTTACCCTCTGGTCATCAAACATGGCTGGCTGGGAAAATCCTACACCGAGCTAAAGCTTCCAAGGGGAAAATCCTCTCAGCAAAGCCACATCTCTCTATACCCTCCAGTAATTTAACATAAATATCCATCGAATTTCACCAAGTCTGAAAATTGTAAATCATCAGTGGGACATGTTCGCTACAGGAAGGCCTTCTCCTGTAGCTCCTCCTTCAAAGCCTCAATTTCCTGTCCGCCGCTTGGAACAGAGAACGTGGGGCCCAGGTTTCAGGTTTTGGTTCTCGGAAAAACGAAGTTGATCTAACCACGGACCATGGATGTCTCCACCATAAATCCTGGTAAATATTGGTAAGATTTGGTAAGTGTATAGTATAGTCATATAACTTAGGAATCCCTAAGTTTCCCAATCTTTCAGAGGCCCCGGCTCCTGTGACATTTTCACTGATCATCCGAGAAAATCCCATCGATATGAAACACCCACGAAATGGTCAAATATGTGGTATCATCCCCTACTCAACCATGGTTTCTGGGAGGTGTTTAATATTGGGGGGATGGAATTACTGTAGTAGTATGCAGCAGTACAGTTCTGTTCCCTGAATTTGGGCTGGATTCTGGCGATTGTGGGTCACCCAAGTGCAAGAGGAGAATGGTCCATCTAATGTGGCAAACCCAATGCCCAATGCCATAAACCATACCACAAATTACCCAAGTTTGCGAGGGGGGAAGTTGTTCATCATTCATTCTTACTGTTATAAAATTGTTACACTGTCTTTCTTAGAAGTATTGTTGCTGTTGTGAACTTCTTATGATCAGCGTGTTTGCCACAATCATGAATAGATTGAATGGATGACATGTCTGACCCAGACATGGGTCAACCGAAAAATCGCTGCAATCGCCGTCCTTTTCGTGTGCCTCGCGCTTCTTCTTTCGGGCTGCGTCCTGCGTCCCAAGTCATCACTGATAAACACTTTGCCTGGAAATTCCTAGATATTAACAAAACATACTATAGACTACAGACATTCTATAGACTACAATATCACAAGCACAAGCATGGCGATGTATTGGTATCATGTGTATACTATGATATCTTAAGCCCATCCGCTGAATCTTCAGCTGCATCTTTCAAGCTTTGAGTTGGCTAGAGAGAACTTCGGGTGCACCTTCATTCTATTTAACTCTGGGTATCCAAAAAAGTATCTATAAATATCAGTTAATATAGCTATAATTGGAGCTATATTGTCTATAAGTCTATAAATATCAGATGTAATTATCTATCAGGATCTATCAGGTATGATATTGTGGCTAGTTTAATAATAGATAATCAATGAATGATAATAGATAATTTTCATGATACTTAAATGATATGATTGTGGTTAAGGTCATAAACCCTCCAGTCGACTGGGAATGGCAACCTTCTGCATCTCCCTTGCGATGCCAATCCTCGCTGAAAAACAGCGGAAGTGCGCTTGGAGACTCCACGAACGAAAATGGCGGCTTTTGATGGGAAAACACGTGGAAAAACGTGGAAAAACTATGGGAAATATGAGGGAAAATATGGGTATCCATCACCGATAGTTTTTGAGTTTATAACTGGGAAAATCCATCGAAGTGGTGGAAACTAGCCATGGAAGTATCATGAACTGGGTGTTCTAGCCATGGAACTGACGACAGCAGAGGGCAGACATCCTTTCACCTCCCAGTTCTGAGTCAGGATGGCTACGAACCAGTCCCCAGAAATTTTGAAACCATCAACCTCCTGCGGAAATTCACCGATTAACTATAGATAATTTTGCTTCATCTATTTTCCATCTGCACCAGTTTTCGAGACTCTGCTATTTAAAGACGAGCCCATACGAGACCAACATACCCTAAGGCTCAAACTGGACGATCAAGCGATGAAAGTCAGCTTTCTTGACTCCTGCAAATCGCTCGTGGATGGATTGGAGAGCCTGATCCCCGGAAGAAAAAACGTCATTGTCTCTGACCTCCCGCTTGGAAAATATGGTGATGTCAAATGCATTGATTCAAGGGAAATCTATTGGAAACCATGGTTTTAGTACGTTTTTTCATGTTTTTTCTTTGTGTGTGTGTTATCCTCATAATATAGGGGGGGTCCTGCAATTTTCATCATGTCTTCCCCAAAAAACCACTGGAAGATCCAGGGTCAAAATGAACGGCGGCCTGTGCCGAAGGCCTTCAAGATCCGAGTGAGCTGCTGATCCTCAGGTTTGGGTCGGATCTTTGGGCAGTGACTGCATGGCTATGGAAAGATCCACCCATTTTTAAGTTCGGTAAAGCTCTAGAAATATGGGCCATCACCATGGCGAACTGTTAGATAACCAGAGGGTAACTATAGAACATCACCATGTTTATGGGAAAATCCACTATTTCTATGGTCATTTTCAAGTTCGCAAGCTGGTAATAGAAGCAAATGGCATGGAAATTCCCATGGCTATCGACATGTACATCATTGGATAAGTATTACTGGAATGTGGGTTTTCAGTGCGGCTGCGCCGCGGCAACGGCCAGAGCACTTCCCCAAGTTGCCGAGACACTGTGAGTGTGATGCTGTATTCCTGACCCAGTGGCAGGAGTGGGACAAAAACCCGTGCTTAAACCTTGAAACCTCTGGGCTGTCTCTCTCAGTCAGCTGCCTTCTTGGCAAACTGGCCAATTTCCTTCTTGTTCAACATCTCATCCTTGTCGGCGTCGTACCTGGCCAAAAAAATCACCCCGCACTTTGCACATCTTTCCATATCCCCGTTCTGCCCGGATATGCTTTGTGTCAAGTGCTGGGATATGCGAATCACTGGATTGGTCCAAGGGATTTGTTTACAGGATGCCATTATATTTGATGGAAAAAAAAACATGGTTTCCGTTTTCCCTTAAACTGCCTTAAACCAATCATTCCATTGATTGAAAGATGTCGAAAGGTGTTGGATTTAGTCCATGTTTCAGCGGTATTAAGGATGTGTCCTTTCCTGTCAGCTTCAGCCAATTCCGTGGTTGCTTCCACATCCAGCCATCGAGCTGATTTGCCATGGTTTTCTTGTGAACATTGGGAGTTTCCTCTTGACATGTTTGATTATGAAAGTGCGTCACTTTGGATTGTTTGCGGATAGGGTAACAGTGGAATCTGTTGGTGCTTGAGAATATCTTCTCCATTCAAGTTGCCATGAATTGGGGGAAAAAAAAACATGAGCGGTGTTCAAAACCCCCTGTTGTCCCTCTATACTGGCCGGTTCATAGGGTTTCCCATCGTGGATTGTGATAATCCCCACGAAGAAATTTTGGACACTGCCTTTTCCATCATGATCGCCCTGCCCTTTGCTCCATGGGCCCCCACCTCTTGAACTTTTGGAGCTGCACATCCTGCACTTACAGCGTGTTTATCATCCAGCGTGTCATGTGTGCGCGTGCGCAGCTGTGTACACAAATGCGTGGCATGTTTATTTATTTTTCTATTTACATTATACATTGTGTAAGTTAGCTTTATTCATTTACAATAGCTAGTCTACATTTAGATTCTTCTTCCTATCTGCACCCTACTCGTTAGAGCTAAGCGTTGCCCACCAGAAAGCCCTGCGCTCTGCTCCACCAGGGTTTCAGGTGATTCTGGGGAGGATCGGCGGATCGGATTAGGTTTATGCTTATCTTTGCATGGAAGATGAATGGGGAAATGGTTTTCCTTGGAATCTCTTCCCATAGATTCCATAGATCAATCCAATCCATCCGTGCGGCCCATGAAATCCAGCCCTGAATCCAGTGGTTCATCATTTTCGCTCTGAAAAAATGGCTATTTTTGGGATATATTGTGCGTTCTTAGACCAATCCAAACCGAAGGAAAAAAAGGGGAAAGGTCCCCCCCTTTCTGCAAGGTCCATCTTCTTCTTTGCTTCGGCTTTCTTCAGCAGCTTCTCCTAGTCATTTACAGCATTGGTCTGGGTCAAGAGTCTGGCTTTAAGGTGTGAAAAAGTGAAGGATAGTGAAGGGAACGGCCCCTTTTTCTTCAATCCTACATAACAATCATTACTTCACCTAATGTGACTAGATCTGGAAAACAAGTCCTTGGAACAAGGAGCCATGCATTCATAAACTCCACCAAGCTGGTTCAAAAAAAACCAAACCAGGCCCGCTGACACTGCAGAATCACTCCTTGTTGGTTGAGCCATCTCTGATCAGTGTGTCCTGTCGGCCATTTCTGCGAACCAGGAACATCAAAAGTTGAAACGTGAACTCCATGAAACCTCCAAAACCTAGGTGGAAAGATGATGCTTTCATTATTTTGGGGAGTTTGATCTGTCACTTCTGAAGTGAAGCTGGCTTACTTTCTACCAGATCTCTCAGCCTCAAAGCTAAGCCCCCATAAGCCCCCATAACCCCCCTGGTTTTGGCCAATTCGGCCAAACGTTCCATCTTTTTTTCTTTCACGGCTGGTTCCTCAAGGTCAGGGGGGGTGACAGTCATGGACGTTGCAAGCGACGCTGGGCGTGGCGGAGGGTTCCCTGCAGAATGTTCAACGACAACTGGCAGTTCTGTAGCTACAGTAGATGGAGATGTAGTTCAAAATTCTTGACCAGAATATCAATATGTCAATATCCATTCATTTTTGAGCCTTAGCATGCCTTAGCATGCCTTAGTCATCCAATGTTGGGGTTTCCCCAGTTTGATTCCCAAACATATCCAAGTATTGTTTGCCTCTGGGGTATAAGCACCTGGGCTTTTTGCGGTGACTATCCCAATTCGACAGTGGGAGAGAGGGTTGATGAACCCTGGCTTGACATGCTGAGTGGAGATGTGCAGCTAGGTACACAGAATGGTGCGACATGGTGCGACTAAGTTCTGCCGTTGCCTTGTTGCCCAGCGCCGCTGAAATCAACACACATCTCCCATTCGGCAGCGTGTAATTAGTCGGCAGGGGCAGCACGGGTGCCGGTGGACGATATCATTTGGAGAATGTTATGTGGGTTGGATCTGAATCTGGGATAGTCCAACCCAAGAACGCAGATCTTCAAAAGAAACCAACGAAAATTGCACTTGCAGAAAAGAACATGATGGTATTTATTTTGAAGTTTTCCTATTTTCCTCCAGGAGGTTCTGAGGATTGCAGTATGACAATCTGCCATCTTTACCAGGTGACTCGGACCCCGGATCTGTTCCCGCAAAATTCACCAAGAAAAAAACTTCGACTGACACAGCTGGTAAATCCTGCATGGCTAGCTTGGTATTCTATCATCCCACTACAGCACCGTGCGGAATTTTCTGTGCCACCTACCCGTTGCTAGTCAGAATGCTGCAATCTTCGTCGTCAGCATTGAACGGACTCGCCCTCGCACGCAGTCTGCATGGCTTTGCACACCCGGGAGTTTGCCTCAATGCGCTGCGCTGGGAAAGTCATCTTCCAAATCCACAACATGATCATTCTTGATGGGAAAAACATCTCATCATATGGCAGTGTGTCAAAACCTTGTACCCCTGGTGAACATCAAAATAGCTGGTAAATGGATGTTCATCTCATTAAATATGGTATTAATAGGTATTGATCCATACCCAAATCTTAATATATCTTATCATTTCTTATCCTGACGCTCTTCAAGGCACACAGCATCGGGGAAGATTCTTTGGGTGACAAAACAAGGCTGAAAACAGACGATCGGACGTTGTTCAATAAGTTCGAAGGAGTGAAACTACGTGAAACTGACACATGCTTCAAAACATAATCCACACAAAGTATCAAAAAGTCATATCTTGTGAATTTCCGTCTGAGCCTCTGGAAAACCAATAGTTCAAGAATGTTCAAGACTGCTTGGTTCGTCAATTCGGTGACCATCCCAGGCACTAGTAAGGATGAAGATCCATCAACTAAAACGGAAAACATCAACAAACATCAACAAACATATCTCAGCACTGTGTGCCATATTCACCTGTTGCATCCGTCCGTTTTATCTCCTTTAATTCCCCACATACCTTGCTACTATCCAAGCCAGGCAGCGTCAAGCAAACCTTGAGCATAAGTGGAAGAGCATTTGTCAAAGACGTTGTGGCTGGGGCCTGAGTCAGGAGCCGGGATCAGCAAACGTTTGTGTATAAAAACATATCGGACATGAGGACGTGTATATTATGCTTATGTGTAAATATATATATATACATACATGCATATTCATATGTATACAATCATGCACATTCAATTCTGTATTACATGTGTGTGTGTATGTGTGTGTGTGAGGCATTGTGAATGCTAATTGAATGCTTTTTTTTAGTTTAACGAGAAGACCTTGACCTTGAAGCCATGCTGAAAAATGAGCTCACTGGGAAGGTTCCCATCCCTCAGTGATGCACTTTTTGCGCGCCTTGCATGCAGTTGCTCTTGATGTGCGTCAGCAGGCTGTCCATGGCATCTTCCAACACTTTCCTCAGGCAAATTCAGCAACTGCTGAGTGTACAGCGCAAACGTCCCCTGGCCCAAGGTTGTATGGGGTCAAAAGACGAGACAGCAACAAAAAACAGGAATTGCACCAAACCTGATTTTGATCACCATCATCACCATCATCACCATCATCATCATCACCACCACCATAACCATCATCATCATTATCATCATGTTGTTTATCATGATGCTCATCATCATCTGTATCACTGTCTCGCTATGATGAGAGGTTCATGCACCTTGCTGATCGCCCCAGAGCATCCTGATCTCCAGCCGCCCTCACATCCTCAACCATCATGGGTATAGGTCAAAGTTGGGTACCCAAATAGTTAGATGGTTCATGTCAATACATGTTAATATACATGTTCATACATGACAATACATATGTTAATACTAAACCATACTATGTCTAAAGCCACATCCATCCCACATCCATCCCACACACCAAACGTCGCCGCCCGAGCCGCTTGTGCGCTTTCATGGTCTCGCAGCGTCCGGACTTCACGAAGCAATGGAAGTCGGGTCGTCCCGTAACGGTCTTGTCCTCGAAGACCGTGACGTGGTGACCTGGCTGAGTTGGGATACTGATGGCCGATGGCTATACCATCCCCAAACCATCCCCAAACAGCCAAACAACCAAACAGTGTTGGTAGATGTTGGTAGATGTTGGTCGATGTTGGTAGATGTTGGTAGATGTTGGTAGATGTTGGTAGATGTTGGTAGATGTTGGTAGATGTTGGTAGATGTTGGTAGATGTTGGTAGTACGCGGTGTTGCTAGATGTGGCTATCACATGGTATCACAATACTGTTGGGGGATGGTATACCATGGTATACCCATACTATAACAGAACATATCCTCAAGGACTTCAGCGCGGACAAGGAGGCGGGAAGTTGATCATCAGTGGATCATCAGTCCACACTTATTTGAGCTACTGTACTTGATATTGCTGGGCATAGTGGATGCAGGATTCAACAGAATGGTCACCCCCAGTTGGAACTCGTCGGCTCATCCAAGCGAGCCAACCCTCAATCCCGCATCAAGGACGGGGAACGCGCCGGCGTAAACCACAACTCGCATCGCTTTTCGGAGGTGCGGTACTCCATAGCGCGACACTTGGGCATGTCATTGCACTTCCTCAGCAACAGGTCTTGGGAAATCACTTGGGGTGAAGCTCCTGCAATGCTATGAGAGTGGGGGGTGCAAGCGGTGAAAAAAATTGGGATCCTGAAATGTAAATGACTATACTATATTATGTAATACTTATTATATGTACTGTATATAGATATATATATATATACATATATACATCTACGTGGCCAAATGGATTGAGAATTCGGTATTTTGGAGTTGGTTGAGACACCAGGATTTTGTTCCAAACCAGCTATCCCCCATGCAGACCTCTTCATGATGTGTCTTCACCCCGCTGCCTTTTTTCAGCCCAAGAATCTTCTCGCAGTCCCCCATGTTACCATGGATCACGTTGGCATGTTCGGGCATAATTTTTTGATCACTGGGATCTTCTCGGCCTCGATAGAATCGTCGCTTCAGAATGTGGGTCTGGGCCAGGTGAAGCTGAAGATATCTTAAGATCTGACTGTAAAATCATGTTGAATCAGAGAATCACATGTCTGGTGGTGGGATTCTCTTTCTTGCGCAATCGCCCTATGTTTTGTACAGTAACAGTATGTGTTTGCTCAGAAATTCAAGCTGGAACCCATCAACCAGGCCATTTTCCACAGTAAAATCATCTTCCAAGCGCTCAGACTGAATAGTTGTCCGTGATTCTGTCCATGTTCCAGCCGGTTTCGGAAGGCACCAAGAAAAGAAGACATACACCCTCTGGCAATTTAACATTGCTATGGAAAACCACCATTCAAATCATAGCTTAATCATCTACCCCCCGGTTTGTCATTTAACGTAGCGAACTGGAATATCCTCCTTCAGTTCTGTAAAATATGGTTTTAAAACATAATCATCCAAAAAATGAAGGTTTCCTAAACTAGGGCTCCCCCCAAATCATCCATTTTCGTAGGGTTTTCCATGAAATCAACATCAATCTCCCATCCAGGTAGCCCATGGTAGCCCCTGGAAGCACCAAGCAACAGGCCGTCCCCAGGCCCATGGACAGCAAGACATCATTCTTCTCGACCAACTCCTGATGGGACAAAATGGCGCCGTGTTGCGTGGCTAACCTTCACTGCCCTTGCACAAAAGTGAAAGTGTGCATCAATAATTCGATGGTATTAGTGTATTAAAATAAAACAGGCTACTTTTTTCATTGGATAATTTCTCCAATATCTCAGGCTCCAAAATCTCAAACCTCATATTTCAACCATGGTTTCACCTATCCATCACTAAGGAGACCACAATATTGCCATAGGATGCCATCGGCATAGAAAACCACTGGTTTTTTTTCACATTGGCAGTTCGTGTTTTTCTGTCCTGGGCATCGTTGATTGCAACCTTCTCGGGGGTCATACCACCCCCTGCTTGCCATAGGCTAATGCCCATAATGGCCATCAACACAATACCTGCGAGCGGATGACCCCGGCAAATCCCGGAGAATCCCGGATGTTCGTGGGGGATATCCCTGTTATTCATCATCTGTAGCGTCGTGCTTAGGTCCTTGTAGCATAAACAGAAAGATTGGAAAGCAGGGTGCTGATTGACAGGATAAACATTACATATGTTGGCCTAGCCAAACCCTACAAACACACACGAAAACATAAGGTAACTCTACTGAAACTTGGGTGTGGCCCACCTCATAGCTTGACAATAAGTAGCACATGGCAAGGCACAGAACATATTTACTGGCTTGTTGATGTCCACATCATGATTTGCTCATATACATATATATATATATATAAAAGCCCATCCACCTACACAATAGGAAACCCCAGCACAGCCGCACCCAAGAATGTGCAAATCCTCCACCACACAACAAGATGTCTAGATCAAGAAGTGTTTAACTCTCACACCCACACAGATATACATGTAAGTATATATATATACAGTATATGTGTATACATATCAGAAATTATCAGGGTAGGGGGTCAAAAAATATCCAACCAATTGAGGAAAGACCCTCGCCATCCTCCACCATCGGCCTCCAGTCGTGGCCAAAAGGGCCTTGGTACTCTTGGCGGCGGGTTCCTGGATCAACGGTGCTGCATCCTCCATCTCACCGCTCTCCATGGCAATGCTCCGCATGGCGCGGGTCGATCGCTCGTTGGTTTTTGGACAGGTCTACTCAATTGAACTGAGCGGCTAGAGAACAGGATAACCAGAGGATGGCGGGTTGGAGAAAAACATCGAAAATGCGCAATCCGGGCACGTCTTATGTACTTTGCTACTTGGGACTTCAACTAAGGCTCCCGATTTCGGGGGTGCGGCTCCTGGATCCTTAGGCAAGATCCAAGGGCCATCTGGCCCGTTCATCCAGGGGTTGAACCCAAGATGATCGGATAAAGTGTGGGGGGTTTATCCAAAGCCCTGACACACCAACCAACCATCATGTAATATCGCCATATCTTCGAGCCTCAAGTAAACTCCGTAAACTACATGGCATTCAATTCCCATTCAACTTGTAGTTGTATCCCCATCTTTTTGTTGTTAATGTGTTTTGTTTACCCCCCATTTGACCCTCTAGTTGATGGTGAAATCCCCCTGTAAGATATGCCGGATATAGCGACTTCATCAGCACTGGACGCTCCTTCTTCTTCTGGACTTCGGACATGCGCTGGATGAGTTGGTGCAAGGTCCTAGGCTCCCAACCAGTGGCAGGTGCAAATGTGGGCAACGGGAAATTCCCTATAAATATTATACATGGAGGTTTCGTTCGCTGGGAAAATCCACTACAAAATGGTGCATTGGTACACAGCTAGCCATGTTTGATGGCCCAAAGATCATGAAAACATCAAAACATCTAGCCATGTAGCTGAGTTTGTCAATGGGCAAGTACCTCTAGGTTTTCGAGTTCCAGTCATTTATATCCCATTATCATTAACCAGGTTGTATCCGATCAATATACCATTAACATACCAATAATTAGTATCAGTTTTGTTCATGATCAAAATCTAGAGCTTATATCATATATATCCCATGTGATATCCGAAGTTCCCAGGTATCTTGCGTTTCTTCGCATGGAAAATGACCCCAGGTCTAGAACCAAACTCCATGCCGCAGCGCATCAAAAATCCACCAAGCATCGGCGTGTCGTCCTCCGTGACACCTGGAGGCCTCCGACACGAAGATCAAAATCAATAGAAACATGCAAAATATATACAGATGGTATCAGTAAATAGATAAAATCTGATAAAATATGATAAAATATGATGATAAGCATATGATATTAGATAAACTACTGTTTTTTACTAAATAAGTAAATAGATAAAAATGTGGTAAAACAGTAGTAGCAATGTTTCTCCATCCAGGGCAATTCTAGTGTAGATAACTCGTTTGTGATTTCTCTAAGTCGTTCGGAAAGTCGGAGAAGCCATCGACTTCACCGCTCCAGCTTGGAGCCCCCGACTTCACCGCTCCAGCCCTCATGTCCGACGCATGCTCGCGCATGAAGTCTTGACCTGGGGTCATTGCTGCCCACTGATGCTGTGTGACCCTATGGACCCAATGAACAGAGAGTTGCACGGGGAAAATTTAGAGAGTTTGCACAGGTGACTTTAGGTGCATGGTTTTTTGGTCCGAAACTTTTGCCTGGGTTTGTCCCCTCAAAAAGTCCGGCCACTGCTGCACTGCTATTCTCCCATCCACTTGGTGAAAACCCAGATTTCTATATATTTCTATAGATGTGTTGCTTATAATATGATACCCTCTGGTAAATTGACAGTACCACCATCTCTCATAGATAAATCATCAACGATATGAATGGTATTTTATCCCAATAGCTATGTCAGTTTACTGGAGGCTACTGTATCCCCACTGTAAAAACAGCACCTGGGGGTGTATGGTGTAACTGGCATTACTAGATATAATCATGGTGATAGCCTCCATAAGTTGAGATATGGGGAATAATTATCAGAAGGTATGGTTGTATACCCATATTTCATCTGGTTGGTGGTTTCAACCCTGAAAAATATGAGTTCGTCAGTTGGGATGATGACATTCCCAATCTATGGAAAGTCATAAAATTCCATGGTTCCAAACCACCAACCAGCCATTCATATTCCATTACCAAATGGTTAATCACCATTAAATCACCATTCAATCGCCATTAAATCACCATTAAATCACCATTAAATCACCACTAAATCATCATTAAATCACCATAAAATCATCATGTTTGATTTCCCATGAATTTCCCATGTCTCGAAGCACCCCTCCATCCTCAGCCATTCCCCAGGGCCACCGTACAGATCTTCAGGGCCTCACTGGCATCATCGGCCTTGCCGTCCATGGAGTTGGCCTCGCCGACGAAGTTCAAGGACGGGCGTGGGATGTATGAAATGTTGTGTTTAGTAGTGGTTAATAAGGTTAGTAATGGTTAATGATGATTAATTATGATTAATGATGATGAATGATGGTTAGTAATGGTTAATGATGATTAATGATGATGAATGATGGCTAGTAATGCTTAATATGATGGTTTATGGTAGTTAGTAATGGTTAATAATGGGTAGGAATGGTTGGTCATTAATGGTTAATGATGGTTAATGATGGTTAATGATGGTCAATGATGATTATATAATGATGGTTATTAATGGTGAATCACGATTGTTAACGGTTTATGATGGTTATGAATGGGTAATGACGGTTATTAATATAAGTTGATAATGGTGAGTACTGGGGCGGTTAATGGAACTAGCCTGTTGCAATCAAACATGGCTGGCTGGGAAAACCATCGAACTATGTGTGGTGGATTTCAAGCAAACCACCTTGGATTACCGGAGGGAAACTAGTCGAACTATGATTGTTTCATCATGTATCTGGGTAATATTGGATAAACTATGCCATATCAAACCAAAATGGAAGATTTAAAGGAAATAACCCACTATAACACATCTAGGTAGATTATAATATTTCACTAACCTGAAATAAGGATAAATAAGGCCATTTGGGGATGATGTTCCTTACTAACCATGATTTCCAGTGAGGGAGATCAGTGAGGTCGTTATAATTTACCCAGATATATCAACCGAACCGAGTTAGTTCAACGAACTTTGCTATGGCTTGTGGTTGAGCCGTTGGGCAAACCCCCTGAAAAAAGAATGTTAATCAAGGGGGATCATCATCCCGTTTCTATGATTGAAAATAAATGTTTCAACGTGTTTCCAACTATCAAGCAGAACATGTGCCTTGAACGGTTGAACCTCCAAAAAAGGATGCGTTCTTTCTTGCGAACACAAAAACCGAAAATTAGAAATTGCAATGGAAAAATGTGGGCGGATACTTATGTCCACATGAAATGATGACCACAAAGAAACATGTTGATACACCTGTGCCGCAACTTTGCTACATGCCATTGTCTACGATGCGTGAAGCCGGTCCAACCGCTCCATCAATCTCACCAATTTAGATAAACAAATCTGCCAGCAGCTTGGATGAATATGGGTAACCAGTGTACCATACTAGGCATATGATATGACTAATCCAACATGGCTAACAGTACGAAAATCCAATCGATCATGTTTGAAGTTTACCACAAGATGGTGCCCCCTGAGTGGCTTATTACCCATCTAGCTCTCTCTTAGAGCTGTTTTCATTTCCATAAGCACCCCATTTCTTCCAGTCATATAAAGTTATTTAGCTACCTATGGGGGAACCACCTAAGCCATGAGACTTTCCCGTATCGCATCCCATCGTACTGGTTGGCATTCTGGGGTATACCAATCGTGGGCCCCAGCATCATCTCCAACAAAGCAGTTTCAACACCGGCCATGTTGGAATAGTTACTCCCATCCATTCACCTTGAGAACAGACACAGTGAGGTCCCAGCATGATTTTAACCCATTGATCATTTTAAACTAGGACCATGGAACATACACAAACCAATTCCCCAATCGATTCTTTAGTGGCTAAATCCTCTATTTTCATGACGGTTAAATCACGATGTTTGATGCTTGAATCCTTTGTTTGATGGTTAAACCCCTATGTTTGATGGTTATACAGCATACAGTTATACAGTTGTACTCCTATGATTGATGGCAAAATCAGTTGAATCCTCTATTAAAGATGGTTAAATCCCTATGTTTGATGTTGAAATCCCAATAAAACATGGCAAAACCCCCTGGGTTTCTGCAGCCACTCTTCCGCTGGGTTTCCCCTGCCGCTTTGGTGACGATCTCTAACTTCATCTCCTGGGGGCTTTGAAGGAGAAATCTCATTCTACCACCAATGTGTTGCTTTATTGTTGATTGGTTGAATTTCCCATTTCATTGTGATTAGTTGTGGTTAACTAAAGGTATTACATGGGATTAGTTAATTGGTTGATTAGTTGTGGTATACATCCCATTTAATACCTTTGGTTGATTGTTAATTCCCATAAGACCCCATGAAATGATATGAAATCCCTAATGCTGATGGGGGAAGCATCTCCAATTTTACCATTGCTATGGGTGGGATTGAAACCATCATTTATATGGGTGGTGTATGACATTGTTTTTCTAACAGTATAGATTCAGATGACCATGGGAAAGTAATCTGAAGTAATTACATACAAATTTTGTTTGATGGGAAATTTATATAGCTCTCTCTTTCTGGTGAGTTTCCAATTGTCGGGTTGAATTTCTTTTCACTTGATACTGCAGAGTTAAGATTTTCCCCGAAATGTATTCTGTAAATGGGGGCGTTACCGGGTACTACCATACAACCTCTCCAAGGCCTATATAAATCCGGCATGGCGGAATCTACTTCCAAAATGACCCATTGCCTTATAATCCCCGGGCCGATTCAGCCAACATATGCATATTTCATCATATTTCGGGGACGTTCAGCGCGTTTACAAGTCAGGACCAAAACCAACATTGAATGTTTGATCACTAGGTGTCTTTCATTTCCGATTGGCAACTTCTACGTGTTAGTCCTAATTTGTCAGTCGAAATTCATTGCCAAACCGCCGTTCGACAGAAACAATGGTGGCCCAATAAATCTGAAATTCATTCAAATCACCGTCTTCTTCACTTGATGCTGAACGCATTTCGGCTGGCAAACACTCCCTGTTTCATCCCAATGCTCAGTCAAAAAACGTTAAAGCTTCTCCGATCTTCTGATTTGTGGTACATGTAAAATTCATGCAAACAACTCAGTTCTCATGAAATCCAGAGATCCAAAAGATCTCAAAACTGCCGATTTGGGCGATTTGGGATCCGGCACCTTCTCCGGATTCAGCTGCTCAGTGCTGGCACTCAGCTGTTCCAGAAGCTCTTCAGCTCGGTTCACCTGGACCCATGGACGTGATCAACGGCCACCTGATGGTTGTACCATGGAGGTACCGTGGTTGCCAATGTTATAGCTACGTAATACTTGATGTCAACCCTAGATGAAAATGTCAACCCCGTTTACGGCTGTTTACTTGGTAGGGTACCATTTAAGTATTGGATTATGACTATTGGAGTACCCCCCTAATGTTTATTAATCCGGGGTTGACATTAATGACCATAAATGATGCATATATGATAAATTGTGGGTCAGTTGATTCATTTGATAGCTTGTTGATATAGATAACTGGTGATAGATGATGATACTGATAATGTATCCTAATGTTCCAATATGGCCAATTTAACAACCACAATAATCACCCATAAATAACCAAATGCTCTGTCCTGGTGGGTAATGTATTATATAATTTGTTGATGTAGTTACGTTATGTTAAGTTTTACTCTCATCCATCTAAAGTAGTGCTTTTCTATGATAATTTTTTGGTAATGGCATGGATAAAGCAGGTGGATAATCCCCACAAGAATTAAACAAAATCTGGATACGTGCTTAGTATTGAATTTCAGCTATTAAATGATGTTTCATTTGCTATGTGTAGAACCTCATTGTGGGATGGTTACCCCTACGATATAACCTTTATATAGTGACCGACTCATTCCTTGAGTCCCTGGACCGGTCCCTCGGGGATGATGGGGGAAGGGATTCATGGGATTTTTGTTTAACCAACTAACATAACTGGGGGGCCCCACATTGGAAATGATGATAAATGGATCATTCATGGATAATTCATGGTTTTTAGCAGCAAAGTAGTTTCATGATAGATCCCCTTGGGGCCATGAGTCAGGACTAATTCAAACCAGACCCGACTCTTTGGGACTCCAAAAGGGGTCGGAATTGTTGTCCTGCCTTCTCGCCCAAATCCTTCAACAATTCTGCGGCTTTTTCTTGCGCTTCCCGGTTCTTTTTCGCAAGTTCCTCTTTGCCTTGGTGATTGTTTATGAATTTTTGGGTTTTCTGAAAGGATCTCTCCCTCCCTTTTTTGAGGGGGAAAAATGAGCTGAAGAGGCAGGGCGTACCCGGCGTACCTGAATTTAATTATATATACCTTTGATTCATTGATTGCCATGTTTGATTACCAGAGGGTATAGACCAAAAACCTACAAAATGTCATCCATATCCTCCAACCAACGTCCACTATCGCTCAATGAGATATCAAACATCCCCTGACGCCACACGCTCACAACATTACCTCCAAGGTAGCGCTTATGCAGTGTAGTTTCACGCCGGGTCAACGGTTCAATTGGCCAAATATGGTTTATGTCGACTCTGTTGGTTGGTCTTAAAGCAGGGCACCACAAAATCCAGCGGTTTTGTCATCATTTTCCCCAAATGGTAAAAAAATGGGTGGTTTTTTCCCCACTGTAACCAGCCTGAACCTCTGCCTTCGGTACGGCACAGCCCTTCTGTTTTCAACGCGAGGCAGTGGTTTCGTTACCTGTGCCTATTCTGACTTCACTTCCTCTGCGGTCTCCTGGAAGGTCGGGAAGCTACATGATCCCAGATGGACATTCTGCAACCACCTTGGCATTCTCAACATTTGTCAATGGTAAATTATTAAATATAATATATATATATATATATATACATGTATATATATTTTTACATATACATATATATATATAGTTGCAAATACATATATATATATATATAATCAAGAAATATTAGCTACTTGATCCAAGGCTTCCTGATAACTGATTCATCATGATGAATTTTCTGGTGAGTTGACCTCGCAAACCTGGTCTTCCGGGTGCTGGAAATCAGCCACGTTTCGTTCAATGGCCAACTTGGATCACCAAAAAGGACAGCGCAAAACAAACAAATGATGTGGCATGGTTTGCGCATGGAAATCTAATGTGAACACAACATGGTTGGTAGATGATCCCAAGATCAAAACACAACAAATGTTGGTAAATGGCATGTAAATGGCTTTAATTCAACATCACCCAACTGGAGATATAATGTCAAACATATAAACTCATCTCCAGTGATGTTCCAAACAAAAAAACGGAAATGTGACACTTGACAGGGGGGGACGAAAGGTAGGGGGGAAAAGACAGGAGGGAGAGGCAAGAGAAGGTGCGACTGTTTGTAACGCAAGCACGCCGACGACGACGACGACTACTACTACGACTACTAGTACTAGTACTAGTACTAGTACTAGTACTAGTACTACTAGTACTACTAGTACTACTACTACTACTACTACTAATACTAGTACTAGTACTAGTACTACTACTACTACTACTACTACTATTACTACTACTACTACTACTACTACTATGAGGACTACTACTACTACTACTACTATGAGGTCTACTACTACTACTATGAGGACTACTACTACGACGACGACTACTACTACTACTACGACGACGACGACTACTTCTACTACTACGACTACTACTACTATGACGACGACGACGACGACTACTACTACTACTACTACTACGGCTACTACTATTACGACGACTACTACTACTACTACTGCTACTACTACTACTACTATTACTATTAGCATTCCTTCTACTACTACGACTGCTACTACTACTACTACTACTACCACTACCACTACCACTACCACTACCACTACCACTACCACTACCACTACCACTACCACTACCACTACCACTACTACTACTACTACTACTACTACTACTACTACTACTACGACGCCCAGGCCCGTTACACTTTACATTCAATTGAGAAGATCAACAAAAGTATTAGGGAATTTTAAACTCCCACCCCTGTTAACCTTTACATTGAATTGGGAAGATCAACAAGGGTATTAGGGAATATTAAACTCCCACCCCCGTTAAACTTTGCATTCAGTTGGGAAGATCAACAAGGGTATTAGGGAATAGTAAACTCCTACCCCCGTTAAACTTTACATTCAATTGCGAAGATCAACAAGCGGATTCATGACTTCGTGGAAATTGCGTTGAAGAGTTTGCCGATTTCTAACGTTAGATGTATAAGGTAGGCATTTTGGACAAGAATCGGTTGGGAAGAAACTTTTGGGGTTTGAAAAGCTCACCCAAGCAGCTGGAATGTTTGTGTGCTTGTTGTTGGTGAATCGTTATTCTTGTAGGTATACCGTGTTGTCAGCACGCGGCCTCGTTGGACGGGCCTCCAGGGAGTCGACTGAGCTAGTTGTTGACGCTGTGGAGGCGCTTCCGCCACGACTACATAAAGTATCGTTTTTTGTTCTGTACAATGACGTTCCGAACTCCGAATACGTGGGCCCGGTGGAGGGGCCTCCAGAGGGTCAACCAAGTGAGGGGTTGACTCTGTGGAGGCTCTCCCACCGGGTCCACAGAAACTTTTGTTTTTGGTTAGTTGTTGCCTTTGTGATTTCTAGCAAGTTTACATAAAGTCCAACCGGGTCCACAGAAACTAATGTTTTTGGTTAGTTGTTGACCTTGTGATTTCTACCAAGTATACATAAAATATCGTTTTTTGTTCTGTACAATTACGTTCCGAACTGTGAATAGGTGGGCCCGGTGGAGGGGCCTCCAGAGGGTCAACCAAGTGAGGGGTTGACTCTGTGGAGGCTCTCCCACCGGGTCCACAGAAACTATTGTTTTTGGTTAGTTGTTGACTTCTTGTGATTTCTAGCAAGTTTACATAAAGTCCAACCGGGTCCACAGAAACTAATGTTTTTGGTTAGTTGTTGACCTTGTGATTTCTACTAAGTATACATAAAGTATCGTTTTTTGTTCTGTACAATTACGTTCCGAACTCCGACTACGTGGACCCGGTGGAGGGGCCTCCAGAGGGTCAACCAAGTTAGGGGTTGACTCTGTGGAGGTTCTCCCACTAACAAGGGTATTAGGGAATATTAAACTCCCACCCCGGTTAAACTTTACATTGAATTGGGAAGATCAACGAGCGTATTAGGGAATATTAAACTCCCACCCCCGTTAAACTTTGCATTCAATTGGGAAGATCAACAAATGTATCAGGGTATATTAAACTCCCACCCCCGTTAAACTTTACATTCAATTGCGAAGATCAACAAGGGTATTAGGGAATATTAAACTCCCATCCCCGTTAAACTTTGCATTCAATTGGGAAGATCAACAAGGGTATTAGGGAATAGTAAACTCCCACCCCCGTTAAACTTTACAGTCAATTGGGATGGTGATGATGTTGATGATGTTGATGTTGTTGCTGATGATGCTGATGATGATGATGTTGATGAAATGAGGGAAAAATTCGTCATCCGTTTGCCCAAACGAACGACACGGGGAATCTCACAAAACATTGGCCCTGCGCAGTCAAAACACACTTTCCCGGGCAGCACATCCGTCCTGGCCGTAGTACTACTACTACTACTACTTCTACTACTACTACTACTACTAGTACTACTACTACTACTACTACTACTACTACGACTACTACTACTACGACGACGACTACGACTACGACTACTACTACTATCATTCGTATGGCACGTATCTCACTAGAATTTACCAACGAACAGAAAACATCATTTTTTCGGGGTTGCGCTTCATCTCGCCTCGATGAAGCACAACCAAGTGCTTGGGAGCACAACCAAAGTCATTTATCGCACAAACATGAGCTTGGTTGCGCCCCCAAACGCTGGGTTGCGCTTCATCTCGCCTCGATGAGCACAACCTTGGAAAAAGATATTTTTTTATCTTCTTTGGTAAATTTATGTCATCCAGACCGTAGCATATTCTAACTTCGCGAAAAACGCGAAAAAAGCGAAAAAAGTATCAACGTCGGAAAAGCGAAAAAGCAAAGCAGCAAAATCTAAAAAACACAAAAGCAGAATAAAAGGAGAAAAAAGAAAGGAAAAACACGGAGAGGCTCAAAGGGAAAAATGAAACAAGAGTTACATTTTTTGTTTTTTCACGCTTTCTTTCAAGTTTTTCGACAGGCAAAATAATCTATGGTCTGGAAGACATAAATTTACCAAAGAAGATAAAAAAAAAATCTTTTTCCAAGGTTGTGCTTCATCGAGGGGAGATGAAGCGCAACCCAGCGTTTGGGGGCGCAACCAAGCTCATTTTTGTGCGATAAATGACTTTGGTTGTGCTCCCAAGCACTTGGTTGTGCCTCATCGAGGCGAGATGAAGCGCAACCCCGAAAAAATGATGTTTTATGTTCTTTGGTAAATTCTAGTGAGATAGGTGCCATGCGAATGATATGAATAGGGGTCAGCATGATGTTAACGTTTATGTTCATCGTGGCACACCCAGTGGCGAAATGCTTTGATCCAAACATATCCGACGGCGACATGATGACATGATACACTCCACTACACCACCACACTACATTTCACTACTCTACATGGCACTGAATGACACTGCACCACAAATAGACAGGTAGACAGGTAGACAGATAGACAGATAGACAGATAGACAGATAGACAGATAGACAGATAGACAGACAGACAGACAGACAGATAGATAGATAGATAGACAGACAGATAGCCAGGTAGACAGATAGATAGATGAAAGAGAGAGAGAGAGAGAGATAGATAGATAGATAGATAGACAGACAGATAGATAGATAAATAGATAGATAAATAGATAGATAGAGAGAGTTTTGAGCGATAGATGGGTGGAGAGATAGAGAGATAGATAGATAGAAAGATAGACAGATAGATAGATAGGTAGATAGATAGACAGATAGATAGATAGATAGATGGCTAGATAGATTGATAGATAGATAGATAGATGGCTAGATAGATTGATAGATAGATAGATAGGTAGATAGATAGATAGATCAATATATAGATAGAGAGATAGATAGATAGATGAATAGATAGATATGTATATATAGATAGATAGATAGATAGATAGATAGATAGATAGATAGATAGCCTTCGATCGATCGAAATATCGCAATAGAATCGATGTGATAAATAGATATATAGAGCGAGAGAATAGATAATTATGTAGATAGATAGATAGATAGATAGATAGATAGATAGATAGATAGATAGATAGATAGATAGATAGATAGGTAGAAGGATGAATAGATAGATAGATAGGTAGATAGATAGATAGATAGTTCGGGGAACAATATAACACTATTGGCCTTCTGCTTTTTTATTCGCGGGTGCTGTGAGGCCAGGGGTTCAACATTGAATTTAAAAAACTCAATGGGCGCAATTGAAAATGAATGAAAAAAAAGGATCTCACAAACTCAGTTCGGTAAAAAATCTTGTCTTGGGAGGGGCTTTATTATTAACCTCCCAACATTACTCCGTGTGTGTGTGTGTAACATCTAAATAGATGTAAAACTTCTCTCTTTTTTCTTCCTTTGTCCTCTCCCTTTCTAACTCTAATTGCAATGCAGGGGGCCACCGGGGTCCCGGGGGGGTCGGTGGCCACCGAAGACACCCCCCGGGACCCGTGCAAACGTACCTGCATTGTTAATTTCAATTTTTCGGATCTAATCTGCATGTTTCAGGATTCAGTTCCTGCCGGATCATATAATGATCCATTCTTGTCTAATGTGATTTCCATGGTGGCTCCGACATGGTGCCATGGAGCCATTTGAGGCAACCCTTTTTAGGGTGAGTGATGACTGTCCTGACTTCCGAATTTACACATTTGAATCTAGTAATTCGTTTAAGTAATGTGCAACAGATGGCCTTACCGTTTTGTGCCTTTGATGAAGTCCCGCGGCTCCTGTGGTCCCAGGGATTCCTCGCCGACGCATTTCTTCATCTTTGAAGCTGTTCTGAACATTCAGAAACCTCCTTTTTTCGCAGCAACCTTTGCAGTTACATTACATGAGACAGAACGCAGGCAGGTACACGACTTTCAGGTGTGGTCTTCTTTCTTTTGATGGTTGTCTGGTGAGGTGAAACATATTGTGCATCTAATTCGATGGAACTTGAAAGCTGTTTTATGCCAATTGGGGCAAGACTTGACCACGGTCCCGGTGCAGGGAACAATCGCACGAACAGTAGGTCTAGGAACTGGGTCCTGTTTTTTAATTAATTGTTTTGGTTTTTGTCTGGCATCAACTAGTTCCCCATTGGTCCCTAATCTTCCCCGCGTGCCTCTCCGTAACGTGTTGTTGGGTTTAGGTGTGTGCGCTGTTTTTGTCAGGTCCGTTTCGCCGTGTAGGTTGGTTCTGGAGGTCCGTCTGTTCCCCTCCCCCCCCTGCGCTGTTTTGGCCGTCTGCCCGTCGTGTGTCCGCTTTTTTCTTCCTCTTGCCTTTCAGGGTTGACCCGGCTCCGGCCGGGTGTGTGTGTGTAACATCTAAATAGATGTAAAACTTCTCTCTTTTTTCTTCCTTTGTCCTCTCCCTTTCTAACTCTAATTGCAATGCAGGGGGCCACCGGGGTCCCGGGGGGGTCGGTGGCCACCGAAGACACCCCCCCGGGACCCGTGTAAACGTACCTGCATTGTTAATTTCAATTTTTCGGATCTAATCTGCATGTTTCAGGATTCAGTTCCTGCCGGATCATATAATGATCCATTCTTGTCTAGTGTGTGCTTGTGATTGTTCCACTTTTCTTTTTTAGGTGGTGTACTTACTGGTGTGGCTGATTGAACAGAGTAATTACTGGATTCATTGTCACACAACGAGGAAAATCAAGCCTTAAAAGCGTCCATCTTGCCTTTGTTGGTTTTTTTAGGTGCTTGTTGAACCCTTATTGACCCTGTGCCATTCCATCTTGCGGCCATGTTGGGCCTATGCCAGGCTTATGCTGACGCTTTGTGGCATTTGTTGAAAGCTAATTGATCCCATGTCAGGCCATCTTCCCTCTATGTTGGCTCTATGCTGCGTTTATTTCATCTTCTAGGAAACAGATTCGGAAAAATTGCCTATTCCAAGAACACAGAAAGTACACATTTCTGGACCAAACATGAGCTCAATTTCGTCCATGTCGTCCACTTTTCAGACGCTTGTTGAGCCCCATGTCAGGTCATCTTGCAGGTTTGTTGTGCCATTGTCGCGCGTATGTTGCTTTTTGTTGGCTTTTGACTTGCTGGCCCCAAGTACGTCCATGTCAGCTATGTTGGGCCTACATATCTTGGAATCATCTTGCAAGGGCCTGGTCCAGGCCTGGGTGCCTGCCTGTTCTTATGCCCGCCGGGCGTAAGCGCAGGCGGGGCTTTGGCAGCGCAGGTTTGGCAGGGTAAAGGCTGTTTTTTCATCATTTTAGGCCCAAAACCTGTTCGATGAAGGGCCTGCCTGTTCTTATGCCCGGCGGGCATAAGCGCAGGCGGGTGAAAAGGAGACATTTCATCCACAGGATTGTTTTGCCGTGGATTCCCATGAGAAAGGGAAATTTCATCCATGGAATGGAGCCAGTTTGCAATGAAATGGCCAATTTGAAATGAAATGGAGCCAGTCTGGGGTAACTGGGGGGTGTAAGCCAAGTACATAGACGACAGTCCATTTGGATGACTTAGTAAACCAGAGCTATGAAACATTATAAGTGGTATGACGTGTCCAGTGTTGCTTTCTTGCTTGGCTGTGACGAATTCAGAGCCAACAAATGCCCCACAGAATTACGACCGAGTTTGTGAGCGGAGTAGAAAAACTCGGTCGTATTTTTTTTTCCTTCTACAATGCCCGAGAAAGGATTCTAGGTGTATGTTGCAGACCATGGGGCCAGTTGACTATGGCCACTAACCAGATAACTCCTTTGTATCCATGTATGTTTGTAAATATGTCTGTCTGTCTGTCTGTCTGTATGTATGTATGTATGTATGTATGAATGTATGTATGTATGTATGTAATGTGATGTAATGTTATGTCACATTAAGTCGTGTAATGTTATGTTATGTTACATCATGTATGTCTGTCTGTATGTATGTATGTATGTATGTATGTGATGTAATGTTTTTTCACACTAAGTCATATAATGTTATGTTATGTTACATCATGTATGTCTGTATGTATGTATGTATGATGATGTATGTGTGTATGTGTATGTATGTATGTATGTATGTATGTATGTATGTATGTGTATGTATGTATGTATGTATGTATGTATGTATGTATGTATGTATGTGTGTATGTATGTATGTATGTATGTGCGTATGTCTGTGTGTATGTATGTATGTATGTATGTATGTATGTATGTATGTATGATAGATATATAGATAGAGAGATAGATAGATAGATAAATAGATATATAGATATATATATATATAGATAGATGGATAGATAGATAGATAGAGAGATAGAAGGATATAGATAGATAGATAGATAGATAAATCAACAAATAGATGGATAGATAGATAGACAGATAGAAGCATCGATCGATAAATAGATAGATCGATAGCTAAATAGATCGATAAAAAGATAGATAGATAGATAGATAGATCGATAGGTAGATAGATAGATACATAGAAGGATACATAGATAAATAGATACATAGATAGACAACTAAATAGATAGATACATGGATAGATAGATGGATAAGGAGGTAAGTACATAGTCAGAGAAAAAGAAAGAAAGAGATGCGGACCAGGGGGGAATCGAATGGGGGGGGGCCCCCCCCCTAAGTCTCCGTTCATGACTCTCGGCTCTCAATTTCCGGGAAAGGACCACCCACCTCCCCCAGTACTAAACTAGTACTGGCTTTTGACTTGCTGGCCCCAAGCACGTCCATGTCAGCTATGTTGGGCCTACATATCTTGGAATCATCTTGCAAGGGCCTGGTCCAGGCCTGGGTGCCTGCCTGTTCTTATGCCCGCCGGGCGTAAGCGCAGGCGGGGCTTTGGCAGCGCAGGTTTGCCAGGGTAAAGGCTGTTTTTTCACCATTTTAGGCCCAAAACCTGTTCGATGAAGGGCCTGCCTGTTCTTATGCCTGGCGGGCATAAGCGCAGGCGGGTGAAAAGGAGACATTTCATCCACAGGATTGTTTTGCCGTGGATTCCCATGAGAAATGGAAATTTCATCCATGGAATGGAGCCAGTTTGCAATGAAATGGCCAATTTGAAATGAAATCGAGCCAGTCTGGGGTAACTGGGGGTGTAAGCCAAGTACATAGACGACAGTCCATTTGGATGACTTAGTAAACCAGAGCTATGAAACAGTATAAGTGGTATGACGTGTCCAGTGTTGCTTTCTTGCTTGGCTGTGACGAATTCAGAGCCAACAAATGCCCCACAGAATTACGACCGAGTTTGTGAGCGGAGTAGAAAAACTCGGTCGTAATTTTTTTTTCCTTCTACAATGCCCGAGAAAGGATTCTAGGTGTATGTTGCAGACCATGGGGCCAGTTGACTATGGCCACTAACCAGATAACTCCTTTGTATCCATGTATGTTTGTAAATATGTCTGTCTGTCTGTCTGTATGTATGTATGTATGTATGAATGTAATGTTATGTAATGTGATGTAATGTTATGTCACATTAGTCGTGTAATGTTATGTTATGTTACATCATGTATGTCTGTATGTCTGTATGTATGTATGTATGTATGTGATGTAATGTTTTTTCACACTAAGTCATATAATGTTATGTTATGATACATCATGTATGTCTGTATGTATGTATGTATGTGCGTATCTGCGTATGTGTGTATGTGTGTATGTCTGTATGTGTGTATGTCTGTATGTCTGTATGTCTGTATGTATGTATGTATGTGCGTATGTCTGTGTGTATGTGCGTATGTATGTATGTATGTATGTATGTGCGTATGTATGTATGTATGTATGTATGTATGTATGTATGTATGTATGTATGTATGTATGTATGTATGTATGTATGATAGATAGATATATAGATAGAGAGATAGATAGATAGATAAATAGATATATAGATATATATATATAGATAGATGGATAGATAGATAGATAGAGAGATAGAAGGATATAGATAGATAGATAGATAGATAAATAAACAAATAGATGGATAGATAGATAGACAGATAGAAGCATCGATCGATAAATAGATAGATCGATAGCTAAATAGATCGATAAAAAGATAGATAGATAGATAAATAGATCGATAAAAAGATAGATAGATAGATAGATAGATCGATAGGTAGATAGATATAGATGGATAGATAGATAAATAGATACATAGATAGACAACTAAATAGATAGATACATGGATAGATAGATGGATAAGGAGGTAAGTACATAGTCAGAGAAAAAGAAAGAAAGAGATGCGGACCAGGGGGGAATCGAATGGGGGGGGGCCCCCCCCCTAAGTCTCCGTTCGTGACTCTCGGCTCTCAATTTCCGGGAAAGGAGCACCCACCTCCCCCAGTACTAAACTAGTACTAAAGTACATAGAACTCAGGTAGCCTAGGCTACCTTTCGTGATCTACCAACCACCCCCCACCCCAGCATCCTTGTTGAAGGCGCTCTGGGACGGATCGGCCGGCGGCAAGGCCGTCCCCTCTAGGGGTCCCAGGGGTGAGCCATCACCCAGTTGCTTCATGATACTTGTGGCCGAGGCAATCATGGAGGAGGCATCGCCGGCGTTGGCCGGGACGATAATGGTGTTGGACTTGCGAGCCATCTCCTGATCGAAAAGCTGATCGAAATATTGAAGATATCATAAGATATCCCATTGATATCCTATTTATAGATGAGTTTTACCATGGTTTTACCTAGAAATATGGTGATTTTCTATGTTCCTATGTTAAAAGACTAGAGACAGAAGAGGGGGTAAAAAAATGAAAACATGGCGGATGGGATGATGGATATGATGGATCAATATGGATCATGGGTCTTGGAGTTAACTTCTTGTCTTGGATGATGGATGATGGAGGTTGTTGGATTGTTTTTTCCTACATGGATTTCTTTCCGGATGGTTTAGTTGGAGGTGGATTCTCGTCTTGCTTGGAGACAGAAGTTCAGGCTTGCACATTGTGTCAATCTGTATCTATCGGGGTTCATCCTATTTGGAATTGGGTAAACAAGCGACATACCAACCCAGACAAAGCAAATGGGATCATCGCAAAACAATAGTTGAACGACTGAAGACCGTTACCTATTTTTCTTTCCAGCAGAAACAACTTCTGAAAAGATGTTCCAAATGGTCATTGGGAATGGATATGGCATTTTGTTCAACCTCACACCAACTAAGCCAACTGTAGTGTCAAACCAGGGTAAGTAAATCATGATTTATTAGAGAGTTCCCCATTCTTTCTGATTTTATCCGGTGTTTCTTCATCCGCAAGACTTTCTCCGTAGAATCAGTTGGTATCCTAAGAGTCATTGGGATATAGTGATTGTCAGAATTATCCCAATGATCATCCTACTTCAGGTCCCAGAATTCTCATCCTAAGATATGTTTTGGGGAACCCCCCCCCAAAAAAAAAAAAACAACTTTGATGAACTTCACCAAACTGACCAATGAACTATCTATATCCCAAGAGCTATACAGCTCTACCTCCCCATTTTATTTTTGCCCATGGGAATTTCCCACAGACTCAGAACCCCTCCCACCGCCCCGAACGCGCCCGGGCCACGCGCTCTCCTTCCATGCGGCCACCCATTGCTCCGCCACCCGCAGGGTAGCGGCTTGGTGGCCTCCAGCATTGGAGGCGATGGCCGCGCTGATGAGCTCGATACCTGACACAAAAAAACATGGAAAAAACATGGAAAAACCCATGGAAATTCAAGGGTGAATCATGATGATCAATGGTTATGGATGCTTGGTATACTTCACCATATTGGTGATTTTCATGGAACTTTCCACGGGATACCCTTTGGGATTTGACTTGACCGACCAAAGGGGTAATGTATAGTTCGGTATTTTTTTCAAAAAAATGACCACTCACTTTGGCATGTACCCTCAGGTAATCTCTACATGTTGCTGTGGTATAGATGGTCCATAGGCTATGTGTGTGGAACATAAGAATTGAAGGAACACTTGAAGCCCGTGAAAGAGTTTGACAGAGATCTTGATTGACAGAGATCTTGATCCTTAAGTCCTTAAATCAGAAAACTTCATCTTGGAAACTCAAAATGTGGAGGTGCCGCGAATGTATGCCAATGACACCATTCAAGGACTTCATCCTATCTGATCTCCTGAAAAAATCATCCCAGCCTTCAGCGGTCGCCTTGGCTCGTTCCCGGATCACTGCCGCGTCACCTTTGGCTTGGTGGATGGCTGCTTGCATCTTGCCTGTCGCAGATGTGGGGGGTTTGGCTATAGAAAGTTGGAGTTTTACCGCTTTACCATCAAAAAGCACTGGTTTAACTATGGGAAAATGAGTTTTTACCATGAAAATAATTGTTTGTCAGAAAATTGGAGGTGAAACCCCACCTTTCATCCCAGAAAATGGCCGATGCTACGACCATCATTTAACAATCATATACCTCAGTTTTGGTGGTTGAAACCCATATGAAAAATTGGTGGTTGAAGCCCCCTTGTTGATCTCCAACCAGCCCCAACTAGTTAGCCAACAAGGTATAGATCATATCCGCATTTCTGCTGGTTCAACAGCTCTTGTCTGATTGTTCAAGCAACAATACCCCATACCATACCCACTGCTTAAGTTTAAGATTCAAAATATATACATCTGATTTCCAGTGGTTAAAACCTATACTTGGCAGTTCAAATCCTCAACCACCACAACGAACATAATTTGAGTCCATTGTTATACATGCCTTTTATTTCATCGTTTGCCAAGATGATTTCTCAAATTATCTCCATATAAGTTCAACTAAGTTATGAGATTTGCAACCACCCCTGCGTCCACCATCAAAAAATAACCAGTGTCTTAACAATGATATTCACATGATCCCGTTATATCACCATGTTTGTTGCCTGAATTCCCATGCACTCCCATCGGGGATCCATAAATCACCATTCATCACCACTAAATCACCAGCATCAACCAAAAAGTTACAAACACCATGAACATCCATATTAAGTATAGACTGTAGCTATCTACCATTATTAACCATCATTAACCATAACCAATCATTATTTTTTTCCACATCACCCGGAGCGATCTACCATCATCAATAATCATTAACCACTACTAATCACTATATAACCAGTACTAAAGTATTAACCATCATTAACCATTACCATTGATTTCCCATAAAACCTTGGTTCAAAAATCATCTAAAAATCATCTGGCAGTGTGTCAAAACCAATAGTACCCCTTCTGTTCACATCAAGTCATAGCTGGGATTTATGGATGTGAATAACCCCCTAAAAATGGTATTTTCCATAGGTATTGATCCATAGCCATCTAAAAATCGCCCAGGTTTTTCCGGGCCTTGTGCCAAGTTCACCTCGCTCTGCCGATCTCCTTCGCTCTGCAAGACCTCCGCGCGACGCCGGCGCTCTGCCTCCGCCTCCATCTCCATGGCCTCCATCGAGGAATGGGGATTGGATCTCATGGGATTTACCCTCTGGTTATGTCAAAATAGCTATTGAAAATGGCCATTTATAGTTGATTTTCCCATGAAAAATGGGTGGATTTTCCATAGTTATGTTAGTTTACCAGAGGGTATAGCTGATTTAATGATAGCTAACATGGGTCATTAAATGTCCCCATTGAACATCACCCCAACCATGAATGGTATATGGTCAATGCCATGGCTACTATAAGGTGATGTCCAATATTCCCAAAATGGGACAGGTAGAAATTATGGGTCATGTTTTTGCATGAGCCACATTATAACTTGAGTAAAATTTTCACATCCTGGTCATAACCCCAAGAAGCTCACAAATGTGCTTGCAAATGGATTGGTTTCATTAAAATGGTTCAAACCAAAACCTACAAGCCCCCAAAAAGTTGGTTTCCCCTTTTTTCGTCTCCAAATAGATTCTGGGAACTTGGTATTTCTTCGCTGGAATCAAACGTGGCAGCCGGGACAATCTCCATAGCTATGGAATTTTCCGTCTACAAATCCGACCGAGGCTTTCACCCACGAATTTCATCCAAAAGAATATAATACATGGATATATATATATATATATGTGCATATATGTATATAATGATATATATATATATATTGATATATCTTGTATACATACATATTCTGATATAGAATAATCACAATAATTGATAATAACACATTTAAGATAATGACATAACAATAATAACAACAATAATAACAGTACTTATATTCTAGCTGTGTATGGCCTTCAGCATTTTTGAGAAACCAAATAAGTCAACAAAGTCTCCATGGATTCCATGATGGCACCTGCTTGATGGAGGCAGGTGGTATGATATCCTCAGGCGCCGATGAAGCCACAGAGCCCGTTGTGTTTTTTCGCCGGTGGAAAGCCACTTGAAAGTGGTTTTGTGTGGTTTTGATTCAACGGGTGCCAAAGAAAACACCAAACAACGGCCAAAAAATGTAGTGGTCACATGCACCAAATATGTTCCAGTCTGAAAAAATTGGAGCAGCCTAAAACGGTGCCATTTTTCTCGTGAAAGAGCGTGGGTTCTGGCAAGGCACCCGGATCTCATATCGCAGGACTTCGATGCCCCAGGCATGTGCTGCCACGTTCACAGCATGCACGATGGCCTGGCTCGGAGATGGTCCAGTGAGGTCTCCATTGAGGCTGGCGATTCCTGCAACCAAAAATCTGGAAATATCATGAAATATCTAGAAGTGATCATCCATCATCCAACTGGAGTTTCACTTACCCTCTGGTAAACTAACATAACTATGGAAAATCACCATTTTTAATGGGAAAACTCACTATACATGGCCATTTTCAATAGCTACGTTAAATTACCAGAGGGTAGTTTTAATGATTCATCTGTGATGGGGATGGCCCCTTCATCCACCCGGACTGCGCCTGGTTCATGGCATCTCTCTCTTCGAAAGTCCTGTGGCCAGGGAAAGGCATCCCATCGCCCCCATGTCGACAGTCACACTTCACTGGTTTAAGTCCACAGGTGAATCGGTCAGAGAGGAACCATTCATATATCAACCATCATTAACCATCATTAACCATTATAAACCATTGATTTTCCATTTTTTTAAAAAAAGAACATAGTAACCATCATTCACCATTGATTTTCCATCAAATTCATCCATTAAACATTGGGTCAACAATCACCAAATATCCAGCGTCGCCGTCCTATCCAGCGTCATCTTGCCGATCTCCGAGCGCATGGAGGTCTGCGCCAGCTGCGTCACGGCGAAGAAGGGGTCGTGGACGCCGTAGGAGGCCTATGGTTCTCTGGCAACGAGACGTGGCAACGAAACGTGGGGAGGCTGGATGGGGTTTGGATGTGTTGATTTAGTGAAAATCAGGTTTTGATTACGAACGAATCTAAGATTAAGCTAACCTATATTATATATATATAGTATCCAGGTATCCACTAGTATTACGATATCTTGTGATTTGGTATTGTGCCATCTAGTGATCTAATCATATCATGTTTTTTACATGAGGTCTGATGTTATTCAGAGATTATTTAGTCAGTTTAGGGTTTTTATATTTGATGTGTGTGTGTGATGATTTAGTGATTTACATGTGTCCCATGATATTTAGTGTGATAGATATCTGGCATCTATGCATATGTATGTATATATATATATATGCGTGTGTGGTATATAACTGATGTAATGGATATATTTAACTTGATTTAGTCATTTACACCATCACTATGAATATGTTTAACTAGCAATTTAGTGATTAATATCACAAATATGATGTGTGTTTGATTGTGTTTGATTATTTCTTGGTCACTTAAAAAGCATGTTGTTAAATTATAAAGCACGTTTATTTTGTAGTTAAATGATTTCGTGATTTACTGAGAAAAAAAAACTGAAAATGAATACGCAACTGGTGATTTAGTGATCTTCAGTGAATTGTAATATGAATATGATACCACTGAAAATCATGCTACATATGATACACATATATCGAATATCTTGGCATCATTTTCATCAGGATCAGTAGATGTGTTTTCATGGGACGATCCAGGGATCGTCAAACCTGAAGGCCAAGCCATAGCATCATCCAATTTCCTTGGAGGAGTTGTGTGGTTTATCATCTAATTTATCTAACTAAGAAAAGTTTGAATAAAAGATAGTTTTTGAATCTAACCCAAACCAGAGCAACTTGAAAAAGTTAAACTAAATTCACTAAGCTATGATTCCCAAGGTTTTTGGGATAAGTGTGTTTTTGTTCAGTTAACGTAAGGCGATGACGAAAAGGCCATGGAAAGAGGGGATGCTTCCCCTCAACCACCACGGCCTGATAGGCATCCACCACTTTCAAATAGAGGACACCATCGATACTGATGGTCACCTCAGATTCACATCCCCAAAAGTAGCATCTGCGTTGAGAAAAAGCTGTGAGATTTTTTTTTGTGGAATAGTTGGGAATCTCTAAGTGGGATATATGATATATTGGCTTCCCATTTTTTCAGCAAATCCCTGGAGTTTTCTGAAAGTAAAGTAGCTCCATGTAGCTCCCCCCAAGCCAAACCCGGCCATGGCACATTGTCCTTGGTGATGGCCTGTTGGTTGGGGATGGCAATGGCCTCCTCCTTCAAGGAATGCGCATAGGCGACCCGGTCCACCTGGAATCCCCCCGAGCTTCATGGAGGTTGCTGGAACGACATCCATGAAGGATACATTGCCAGTTCTGATGGCGAAGATCGGAAGTATATTGGGATGCACTTAAGTTAAATGAGATGGTTGATGCTAAATGATGCTAAATGATGGTGGAGATCTATGGAGGGATTTGGAATTCTTTGCCATCCTTGCAATGGGTTTCTTGACCAAAGGGTTTGGGAAGTTGATGAACTGCCTAGAATGGACCTATCACAAGAGGTGGGAATTACCCAATTGAATCATGAGGTTCAGGAGCACCTTCGGATTTGGCAGGGTCATGCCATTTCACATATATGTCCGTGAGTGCCTATATCATCCTAGATAAAAGTGTACAGTATATCATACCATATATTATGGATATATACATGTGTAGGCTCATCGCAATGCCCTACCGGCCCTACCGACTTCGCGAAGGACAACTCATCTTCTACCCTAGGGCCCTAGGGGCTTCCCGATCAACTTACCCAACTTGACCAGCACGGTCGCTACATTTGCCGTAGGACGATTTATGATGCGGCGATGCGTGGCTATCCGTCTGTCTGTCTACCTACCTATCCATGAATCTACCTATTTGCCTGTTTCTGTCAACAGGCTAACTGCGGCGCAATGTCTCTACAAATCTCACCATTCCATACAATTCCATCAATTCGCCCTCTCTCACTCTCTCACTCGACCTGAAATTCAGGTCAAGATGCCATGGGCACCAAGAAGTGAATTCCTGGATCTAGGACCTTCTGAAATTTGCCCAGCCGTTCGATGACCCATGCGATTTGCTGTGGCACCACCACCACTCCCACGTGGAAACGCGGGGCAGAGACTCCTACGAGACAGGCACACCGGGCAACGAAATGAGAACAACAGCACAATCATGACATGTCACATAGGGTATTGAAATCAGTGGAAGGTTGCCTCACTATACAGCCTGAAAGCAGGGAGTCTGGAAGAACTTTGAGTCTGCAAACTGGAGTCTTCATGGGCTAGAATACTTTTTGCCAATCTCAAAAAGGTAAAACCATCATGTCATAAAAACCATGAAAGCTCATTGGTTCGATTCTACAGCCAGCACGGCCCGCCGTAGCACTTGCACCGCACCAAAATCAACCGATGCCCATCAAACAGCATGTACTCACGTCCCAGGCTATCCCCCTAATTGACTCTAAGTAGTATCAAACACCCCCATTGTCTGGTCACCGTCATGTGGTTCCCTCCAGCATTTCTGGCGTCCTCCCCTCTTCTCCATGGGTGTGGATCCCGTCAGTGCCGCAATGGACAAGCTACGGTACGACCCGCAGCGCAGCGGGTCATGCCGCGGCAGGAGCCGCGGCAGGAGCCGCCGGCCCAGGGGGAGGGCCATGGCAAAACCGGTTGGAAAAGGTGGTTGAAACACCAAGGCTCCAACCCAATCAAAAATGTGGAAAAATGAATCCAGCTCAACCAGTTTCATCACGGGTTTTAACCCTGGAGGATGGAGGGGGTGCTCCCAGTAAAATCAGAGATAGCAAGATATGGCAAGAAAGCATGTCTCGGGTGAAGCCTCTTCGATATCGCGCCATATTATTGTTTGATGTCGTGGCATCTTTTTTTGGTCATCAGCATTTAAACCGCAGTTGAGAGAATCCACCATGATCAATCATGGCTCAGGTTCCTTGCTCTATAAAGAAGGGCGCCACGCGACTAAAAACAACACCGCAGGGCACCGAAAATCTGATCTCTTGATCCTGTTTCTGCCAGTGGTGACGGAGAGTTTCAATGCACTGAACCGACAGGACAAAAATGCGAACTCCAAACAGGAGTCCCAAGACCCAAAAGTACCCAAAGTAAAAGGATGTCTTTCCCGATCCTCTTCCAACTTAGTCTACTCATCTCTGCATGCTTCGGGGATCCGCGTGGAAATTTTGGAACCACCATCCACATAGCAATGTGCGGGCAATATCTAGGATATTATGCAGTGTCCACATCTGCACCGACGTGGGTCATTCTTGGTGCTCCCATGCCAAACATAGATAGGGTTATAGCATATTATAGCATCTTGTAGTTGTAACCCTTGTAGTTGCCTATGAGTTGCAGTCTCTGGATAGACACCATGTCCTGTTGTTTACTCGTGTGGAGTTATATCACGCTATATCTCATCAGCAGACTTTGCATTGTCCCCATGACTGTCCTCATGATTGTGGGACAACGATGTGTGGCACTGTTGGGCACCAAACCAGCCACATAAAGTTGTGGGGCCCTCAAGTAGGAGCTTGAGAAACATCCATCTGGACAAGACAGCAAGTCAATCTCAATTGGGCCATCAAACTATATCAAACTGATAGCTTCCCTAATCTTCAAAACATAATGCTTCATATGTGGGGCACACCTGGCCATGAAGCCGCTACCGTCCAGTACCCCATATCTTAACATGCAAAATTCCAATCTTTTAGCTGGCTAGTGGCCGATTTATGGCTGTGCCTTTCCTGCATTCCCCCCACCAAGCTGCTTGCTAAAACTGATGCCCAGAAGCCCCAGGCCCAAACCATCTCTGGGACTCCCAGACGTTCCTCCTCTTTCCGCTTCTGTTCTTTGACCGTCTGCGGTGGAAATAGGGGACATTATGGGACCCTTTTTGACCCCAAATGATCAATTTAGCAACCTCCAATTCCAATCAATCGATATCAATCGTCCCATCCTATCAGAACCTTCCCACCCTCGTAGGTTTTTCTGCAAAAATGCAATCACATGGAATGAAAATGGAATAGGAAAAACTGAAACAACCCTGGCACGAATGGGGGAAAAAACATAAACCCCATACAGTAGATATGCAAAAAATCAGGAACAAGAGCTCCAATGAGCTTGTCTGAAATAAGTTGCCAAGAAAAAAACAGATGATTTGTCTGTCGTTGTCCCTGCTAGCCATAGCCATTTGATACCCATTTCAGAGGTATCCCCCCCTTATGTCTTTATCCAATCACTGTGTATTCCCACAATCCAATTGGGGGTTCTTAAAATATGGCTAACCCCAAACCTGGGAAAAATCATGACCACTTTTACTTAGATGATTTTGGTGGCCCCATTTTAGGAACCCCCCAATTGATATGGTGTTCGATCTCCATTGGTCATTAGGCATGGTGGATCCTATTGCTTTACCAACAGTATATCAGTTCTTGATGGTCAAATCCCATTAAATGCCATTAAACTCACCATTGTTGATACGGTACCGTAGTTCAACTCCCCATTGTTGATGGTTAAACTCCTATTGTTGATGGTTATCATCCTAATCTCCCAGAACCAGGAGCACCAGGAGCACCAGGACCTCAATTCGCTTCAGGGTGATCTCTACCGCCTGAGCGCACTCGGTTTGCACCTGCCGTTGGGGCGAAGAAGGTTTCAAAAAAAATGCAATGTTTGGAGGGTTAAACTCCAATGTTGGGGATACTCTTTGGGCTTATTTCTATTAGCTATATATATATATCTCTCTCTCTCTCTCTATCGCCATCTCGGGAGATCAGCAGTCAAGCTGAAGGCGAGCTAAAAAGGCGACTTGGCAGGTCAGTATAGAAAAATGTGGTTAAACCAATTTTTGACCGTTAAAATCCAACATTCTATGGTAAAACATTATTGGGCGCTTAAACTCCAGCGTTCCATAGTTGAACCACCATTTTTTGGACGGTTGAACCCAAATTTTCTATAGTTAAACCCCCATGTTTGACGCTTAAACCCCAATTTTTATATTGTTAAACCAGGTTGATGGTAAAACCCAAGTTGTCTATAGTTAAACCATCATGTTTATTAGTTATTAGTTGTTGATGGTTAAACTCCAATTTTCTATAGTGAAACCGCAATTTTTGTTTGTTAAAACTCCAATCTTCTATAGTTACAACTCTATTTTTACTGGTTTAACTGTTTTTTGTGTTTGACGATTCAACTGAATAGTTTCTATAGTTAAGACATGTTAAGACCCCGTATTTTGACGCTTCATAGTTAAACCATTGGAAAACCTCCAAAGTTCTACATGCCCCCCAAATCATCCTATACCTCGCCCCCCATGTTTGATGGTGAAATCACCACCTTCTCTGCGCTGCTGCCGCACTTGGGCAGCTCCTGCTGCATGAGCTCGGCCAACTCCTGGAACTGGTGGATCCAGCCAGCTAAAAATCACGAAAAAACATGGTGAAAAATCAGAAAATCATCTATAAATGGATGTTAATTCATAGAGAAATCCTCTATAAATGCTGGCTTTTCCATCGATTTCGATGGATCCCCCATCACTTTCCGGGAAATGAGTTTTAAATTATCATCCCGGAATGATATCTACAGGATGGTTAGAACCACCGTATGTCATGGACCTGGGCTGATGGCCATGGTCCTATTGGACACTTCCCCAGTGTCGGTGTGTGTGCGATCGCCTAAAAGCCAACCATTCTTATACCATTCTTTTTGGTATGGATGGTATGGTTTTGAATCAGTCTTGAAAGTGTAAAATTGGGGACATGGATGGAAATGGTGGCCGGTTTCTGTCACATTACTTCCTGGCATTTTTCTGTCACGAAACCATATGGAATCAACGGACATGTTTCTTCGGGAACACCTGCAGGAAACCATACTGTTCACAGCATCTCCCCGCCTGCTGAGCTACGGCCAGCTCGGATTCTTCTTTGGCGACCCGGATCTGAGTTTTGGTGCGACGCAACACGCGAGGCCCTAAATTGGGCCTTCCAAGATCCAATTGAAAGTGACTGGAAACCAATGGTTATAATAGTGGAAACCAATGGTTATAATATACCAATGGAGTTATACCAACTCAATCTGGGGGGTTCATGTAAATTTTCCGGAAACAACAAAAACCAGTGAAAGTTGGGTTGTTGCTGACCAGTGACTCAGAAATGGGCAGTGAGCACGTATGAGAGTATGTCCCAAGGTGTTTTTCCCCCAATCTATTCTGCAATGACTTCCAAGTCTCATGTTCAACCAAAAAAAAGAAAACACATGATCCTCTGGTGTCATCAAACATGCCTTGCTGGAAAATTCCCCCCACTCATCATCGATGATGTTCCCATCGCCATTGACCCATTGACGCTGGTACTTCCCAGCTGAAACGCTCCACCTTCTGAGCCAAGAAATGGCGCAAAGTCATCGCAGCCTTCTGCTCCTACGGCCACGACGGGGCTGCCGCGGCCACGGCCGGAAAGGTTTCGGGGCGTGACTCTCCCCGCATTGGGGGGTAAAAACCTCTAAATGTGCACTTTAACAGGGACTGTCATGACAAAGAAGGCAACAATGATAGATTGGGGATGATATGATATATCTGCATATGATTGCATATGCTCATATGATGAGCTGGTTGGAGAGTTAAACCCAAGAAAACTTGAAAGTCAAGTGTTGATCATCGAGTCTCAAGTACTTCCGGGTGTGTCCAAAAACAGGTGGTACCAAATCAGGATGTGACCTACTTCGGGAATCAAACCCCAAGGGATTCCTGGCACAGGATGTTGTATATGTTGGCAACTCATAAGACGAAAATGCCATCACAAGTCCCAAGAATGTGTGTAAAGATAGATGTCCCCAACAGGACAACATGCGATATTATATACAATATAATATATGTATATACAAATTATACATACATAGTGAAATGCTATATATAATATGGTGATGGATAAAAACCCTGGTACCCTGGCTTGTCACAGCAAAATAGCTGGAATGTATGGATGGCGCCGCTGCCTCGAACTGCCTCTTTCGCTCCTCAGCCAACCTGCCAGTTGCCCGGCAAGATCGGGAGGCGGTGAGGGCTGGGTGTTCTCTGTGGGTCCTGGGTTTTACTCAAAGTGATTCAGAGTGAACAAGTGAACAGCCTGTACCAGCTAGGTCATGAATATTCATGACAAATCCAAGTTGATTCCAAACTATATAATCATGAATATTCATGACCTAGCTGTATAATCATGATTTCCAGCTATATAATCTATAACATTCTATAACATGTTTTAACTATATAATTCCAAACAGGAAAAAGATGTGGGGTGCTTCCCCAAGGCTTGTAGCGAAGGATGCTGACGAAAAACTCCAAAATCGCCAGGCATCCCCCACATCTGTATACCAACCCCCCAACAAAGATAGAAAAGCCAACCATCATCAAAATAGCAATGTCCTTTTGGTAAAGATAGAGGTAAATAGGTTTGGCATACCATATATCATCATTTACCTTTAACTTGATACACAAACCCCTCTTTTCATCAACCAACCAATGGGAAAAGGTCATCCATGCAAAATAGTATAGTAAGGGACTACGTTTCAGAATCCTTTTCGGGGACAACAACTGACAACTAACCAGTAACTAGTCTAATCAATGAATACATATATTGCACATACACATTTACAAACATAATATCTGAATTCAAAGATCACGAGCCAGGCGACCACCGGAAAATCCATTGTTTTTTACATCACCAAATAACCAATTTTTGGAATCCTGCACCAACTTACTTGGAAGTGCAATTCCAGTTAGCAAATCAATGTAGTGAGGTTATATCCCAACTTCTGGGGTTTTCATAATCATGGTTGTAGCATGTTGTAGCCATTTAAGTAACATCAAGAGTAACATCAAGTGCGCGGCACCAAGTAGGGCCTCTTCTGTTCCTCCATATTCTTTCTGGTTTGTTCTTCCATCTTCTGCCGCTGCTCGGCTGCACGCCGCTTCATCTCTTCCTGCTGCCTACGCAAGCGCGGATGGAAAACCCGCGGAAACGGAAGTTATTGCTGTCATTGTCATTATCATCATAAATGACATTTAAGTACCATCACCATGATCTCTTTAATCGGGAAGGGATTTTTCAGAAGAGAGTGAAATTCACTCTAGGGGCCTCATTTTTCCACATAACTTAGCTGTTGTCTGTAGTTTATATTTGCCAAATTCGCAAGCCATTGGCCATTGCTGTGAAAATATTCGCCGCCTCAGTCGGTTTTCCTCTTGCTGCCTTCTCTGCTCTTCCTGGCCATGGGTGAAAGTTGAGCTGCAAAAACACTGTCTCCTATGGGAAATGAACCAATAAAACAGTCCGTTTTGTTGGGAAAATCTGCGGATATCTGTAGGAAACCATGATTTTCATATCCATATGGGCCATATGTATAGTGTAGAACCTCCATGTTGTTCCCTTAATCGACTTCCGAAACTGGTTAGGTCGGCCAGCCATCCGACTTTTCGGAAAATCCTCATGGATAGCCATCCGGAGAAAGCTGGTTTCTCTCCTATGATGCGGTCGTCAGGGTGGGGCCCCCCCAGTTATGTTTGGTGGTTTATAAACCCCATTGCTATAGATTAATCGACCATAAACCATAGTTGCCATGGTCATTGGAGTTATAAACCAACTTAATTAGCTATGTAGGCGGCACCATATTCTCCCGGACGAAAATTGCCATTGTCCAAGGGTTTGTTTGCACCATTTTCAGGCAGACTCCCCTGGATCCCACGTTCCAGCCTGTTTCTTCTTCAGTTCTCCCAGGGCCACGGCCTTCTGCTGTTGCGCAATCATCCTTGGACGGGAGGCGATAGGTACAGGCCCCCCAAGGATGTTGTATCATGGCCAGCCCTGCTGAACTTACTTAGCAAGGACACTTTTCTTGAAATCAATGTTTGCTTTGATGGTTTACCTCTTGAACAGGGAAAAGTATGCTGGTTTAAGGGAAAACCAGCAGGAAATCTCAAACATGTATGGCAAAATCATGCAAAGTCCATGAGTTTCTGTAGGTTAAGTCACAACAAACCATCAAGCTCCCACCCTTGCCACTGTCAAAGCGGCTGCTGCGCCATAATTTCCTGCTGCTTCTGTTTGATGGATTGCTCCTGGCATCCAGGAAAACACCCATGCGTCCGAAAAAGTCCATGCTATCTAGCGGGTAGCTTCAGTCCCAAAGCCACGCTAGGGCACAGTCCCAAAGTCCGGCTGATAGAAATCCACCATGGGACCCGGCCTGCGAATATTGTTGGCTGTACTGATAGGAGCCGTACCTCGAGGGAGCTTGGAAGCGAGTGGCTATGAGGTGTGCTTGGTATATCTTCACGTAGTCCCTGATTCGGGATATGATACACGGATAGCCAACTAACCGATAGGAATATGAGCAACTACGTAACCATATTTTTGACAGAGACCTCCACATGGATATGTGTACATACATATCTACATACACATGCATATTCATCTCCTCATGTGCTCATCTATTTACACTCACTCGGATGAAAAGCACACCACGAGCCACTATCCTCTGTCAATCAAACATGGCAATGGAAAATCTGTGGAAATCAACTGTAGGTGATACGACGTGATATTACGTGGGGGTGCATGGCGGTTGGCGGGACAGTGCCCCATAATATTGCTGTGGCGTATCCTATATACCCTCCGGTAATCAAAACTAATTGTGGGTTTTAGTGGGAAAGCATCGAACTTATTGGGTTTTTTTCCAGCTGGCCATGTTTGAATACTAGAGGATAATCACAAATTAATCGCCATTGGTCACCATAATTAACCATAATTGACAACTACTAACCACTATTGCTCACTATTTACCATTGTGGTGGCATTTTCAATTTGGATGGACACGCACAAATCAAGAAGTGTTCACATGTCTCAGGGGTTTTACATGCTTCAGTCATCTCACTGGCATGGCCCCTGCACAAGCGATGACACGCTACCTTTTGGATGGCTCAAGAAAGAGGCAGCCGCTGCTGCTTCGGGTTTTTTCCCCCGTTTGGGGTTCGCAGGTTATGAGCCCAAGTGCTCCGGCGCTTGGGTGATCTCCGCTGGGGCGCAGCGATGGACCGTCGAAAGCGGCAGCTGCGTGATGAGACAGCTGATGAACGGCTGGATCGCCTGATAGCCATGGAGCGGAACTCGAGGATCAGCTCCCCGGTGCCTGAAGTCAGAAGACTGATGGTGGAGGAGGCAAGAGCTGCGGCTTCAAGCCCTAGACCCCGACGTGATGGTCGAGGAGAAGGTGAAGCTGCTGGGTCCACGGGTTTGCTGCCGGTGGGATCAGGGACTCCGGTGCCGGATGGCCTTTTAGCTCCGCTGTTCCAGGACCTTGGACAGGAGGAAGCCCCACGAGTTTTCCACAGGAGGTTGGACGAAGATGATGAGATTCGTCCGGCCGAGGTGGCAGAGTTTTCTAGTGCCGTTGGAGCTGGTCAACTATCAGCTCAGGATCAACGAGATGCTGGCCAAGGACGAGGTTCGGGATACTGTGATGGCATGACCTTGTCTGATGCAGCAGATGGCCGGTTTGGCCATGATCGTGACAGTGCTGGAGCTCTGATGGTTCAGCCTGGTGTCAATGCCTTCTGGAGTAGTGAAGTCAGAAGGGCAGCAGCACTTGAGGGAGTGCCGGATGTTGCAAGGCCTCAGGCATTGCCGCCGCTTGCTGGCCCGCCGGTGTCTTACGGCCCTGTGCAGGCCCATGGTGAAGGTTGTGGAGGTTCGGGACATCTTCATCCTGGTGGCATGGCTGGTAGCATTGGCCCTGAGCAGGCCTCGCGCTGTGCATCTGGTGGCATTGGCCCTGAGCAGGCCTCTTTGCGCGGTGCGGCTAATGGCATAGGTCCTGAGCAGGCCTCTTCGCGCGGCATGATAGCTGGTGCAGGCCCTGTGCAGGCCTCTTCAAGCTGGGTTGCAACTGGTGGCATCGGCCCTGGGCAGGCCCTTGGTGCAGAAGGACGACAAGCAGGCCCTGTGCAGGCCAATGGAGCGCTACTTGATGGTGGTCCTGGATCTCTTCAAGCTGGTCTGAGTGGAGCTCTGTCGCAACCGTCGCCGGAGAAGTCGGTGGAAGCACTTCGGCTGAGGATTGTGAAGGCAGCAGAGGAAAGCTTCATCAGAGAGGCGAAGAAGTTGAAGGGCGAGGAGCCGGAGGGTGAGGTGCGCTCTTACCACACAGCTTCGAGTGGGCCTGGAGCGAATGGAAGGATGGTTCCACCAATGCCTTCTTTGCAGGGGGCTCCTACGTCGTCTTTGGTGGCAGTGCAGCCTGGGGTGCAACCTATGTCTGGGCATCATGGACTTCATCAAGGAGGTCAGACAGCTGGACTGGGATGTGGCATGATGTGGAGTCAACCGGTGTCTCCAATGGTGACTCACTCTCCTGGAACGCAGAGTGTCCTGGGTTTTAATGGTGGATGTGGGATGAATCCTGGACATCATCAAGGTGGTGCAGTCTATGGTGGACCGGCAGTGACTTCTCAGAGTCCTGATGTGGGCTTACATGGTGGTGGTCAACTTCCAGGTGGATTGGGAATGTCGGCCAATGCAGGACACCTTGGAGGTGGACTGACTGGACCTAGTGCTGGTGGGGGTGCAGGTGGAACTACGTCGCTGGTGAGACCTCCAGGCTTGGGTGGACCAGATCTACAACAAGGTGTGGCACAGCCAATGGAGCCTTTGAGAGGTTCCGAGCTTCCTCTACTACCTCAACCTGGGACGGAGCAGTCAGCTCTGCAGTTTGGTGATTGGATCACAGTGGTCACTCCGATGATTGGGGACGTGGCTGGATCTGCTCGTGGTTGGTGGGGTGACATCTTGCAAGATGCCTCAAGTTTGTATGACCGGTGGCTCTCTTCGACGCCCTTGGAGAGGATCAGACTTCGTCCAACAGAAGTTCAACGATCCGAGGCCCATCTACGCTTGGAGCAGAGGGTGGTGCCTATGCTGCTGAAGTGCGTCCCGGAGTCCATCAAACAGGACCTGATTGCCAGCAGGACTATGACGGTCACTGGCATTATGTACAGGTTGTGGACGGTCTTTCAACCTGGTGGCAGCTCAGAGCGGGTGAGCATTCTCAAACAGCTCACGGAGCCGAAGGTGGCCAGCAGCGCACCGGATTTGCTTGGGGGACTTCGGCGATGGAGGCGTCTCATGAGCCGATCCATGGAGCTGAACTTGGCCTTCCAGATCCGATCATTCTTGGAGGAGTTCTTCATCGCTTTGCAGATGCTCTTGGGAAGCTGGGTGGAACGCAGTTGGCGTACCGGGTGGCCTCGGTGAGGCAGGAGCTGGGGGTTGACATCAGGCCCTTGGCACTATCCATTGAGCAGTATGCGGAGTACCTCCAGTCTGAGGCCGAGGAGCTGAGCTTGGGAATCGGCCTGAGAGCCACTACTGCTGGAGCTGCTGCCCCAACCTCGCTGAAAGCCATGGTGGGTTTGGACGCTTCAACTTCGACTACGAGTGCATCAGCTCTGAATCCATCGAAGGCACCATGTAAGTTTTGGAAGACTGTGGATGGATGTAGACGTGGATCGCAGTGCACCTTTCTTCATGAGACCACGGAGATGAAGGGGCGGTGTTTCAATTGTGGGAGCTCTTCACATCTTCGGAAGGACTGCACAGCGAAGACCTCATCTACTTCAACTCCTACTTCCACCCCGGCTGGTGGCCCCGCAGGGGATAGCTCACAGCCAAAGAAGGTTTCCAAGGTGAAGGCGACCCCGAAGTCAGCCGCCAAGGACCAAGTGGTGGATGCACAGAGGAGTCCTGGGAAAACCCCCAATGGGAGTGAGGTCAAGCCCAAGGATGTGGTCAGCACGACTCTTGGGGGTACCTCGGATGGAACCCAAGGTGGTGATTCAACTGCCACTGAACCAATGGGTGAGCCTTCAACAGAAGCAGCAGCTGAGCTGATGAGGGAAGCCACAAGCTTGCTGAAGTCAATCCGGTCTTTGAAGGCCGTGCGGATGAAGTCCGTGGGAGAAGGGATCTATGGAGGACCTGGAGAATATGCACTCCTTGATGGTGGAGCCACGCATGGACTTCGACAGGCCAGACCTGAAGAGGAACCTGACCTTATTGCAACCAAGGTGGAGTTGGCCTGTGGATCTACGACCCTCTTCAAGCACCCCAAGCACCAGACCTTGCTGAGCCGGAGCCCTGTTGAGCCGATCATTCCATTGGCCTGGTTGGTGGCAGCTGACTACAAGATCACATGGAAGAGAGACAGCATCGTGATCCACCACCCTAACAAAGGGCCTTTGCAGTGCAGCTTGAGGGGAGGATGCCCAGTGATGTCAAGGGCGGAAGGCTTGTCTCTGCTGGGTGACTTGGAGAAAATGCAGCAGGTAGATGTGGACTTGAAGGAGGACGAGTTGAAATGGTGGGCTGATCACTTCCCACAGGTCCCGCACTCCATCTGGAGGTTCATGAAGGGGCAGGGTGAAAGCTGGCGTGACCACTCTTCTAGCCTTCCCTGGAATCGCCATCGAAGAAGGAAACTATGGAAGTCGAAGGGCATCCTTTTGCACCTCTTTTCAGGGAAGAACCACAAACAGTGGGATGAGTTGGAACAGGCTGGCTACACGATCCTCACGGTGGACACTTTGCATGGGATTGACCTACATGATGCAGCCACGTGGGCGTTCATTTGGGAGCTTGCATGTGCTGGAAGGGTGGTTGGCATTTTGGGTGGACCACCATGCCGGACGACGTCACGGCTGCGGCAACGGCAGCCTGGACCACCTCCTCTTCGAGGACGAGACGGCCTTCGCTTCCATCTTGAAGGGTTGTCCACATGGGACCTGCATCGGGTCAACTCTGATACAGCGCTCCTCTTCAAGCAGCTGGGCCTGTTCTTGAAGGCGGAGGAGCGACGCATGCAGGTGCCGGAGCTTCATTGTCTTCCTACGGCATTTGCGCTGGAGTCTCCTGAGGACCCAATGGAATACCTTGGACCTGAGGTTGCAGCCAACTTCCCATCCTTTTGGAACTTTCCTGAACTGAAGGACCTGGTGGGACGAGGGCAGCTGAAGCTTGTGAGTTTTGATCAATCCCAAATGGGGCATGTGAGACGGAAGCCAACTACGGT